TATTATCGCGTTTTTATGTTTTTATTCATGCAACTCTATTGTAAATTTTTAAAAATTAAAGTACCGAAAAAAAAATCATTTATAACGTTTAAATAACACGTTTTTATGTAATAATACACTAAAAAAGAAAATAAATAATTTTCTTTAAAATATAATAATACACTACTATTTAAATAACTATAAAGAAAAGCGTGGGTCGCCTAAATATTAGTAAAGTAATCCAATAGATAATAGTGTGACCCGCGCTTTTCTTTATAGTTATTTAAATAGTAATGTATTATTATATATTTAAAGAAAATTATTTTTTTTTCTTTTGTAGTGAATTACCACATGAAAGCTTGATATTAAAACGTTTCTTATGAATTTTGTTATTGTGTATGTTCGTGATTTTCAATACTTAAACTTGAATCAAGTTTCACCAAAATGGTTGATTGAATTCTTCTGGGCTACATAGACTACAACTACTGTATCAGGAGCTTTTACTTTGTTCTTTAATATAATCGATACGGCTAGTTAAATGCGTTCATCGCCATCTTATACCTTTGATGCACAAAAAGAATGCTCTATTTGTTTTTATCGGTCGGTTTCTGGTCACTTTCTTTGCGATTCCCTAAAATGTTTCAACTTTTGTAAGTTGTTTTTCTGCTGTACACCCCAACGTCTCTACTGACCTTCCCTGTTTATTTTCTCCTCGCGACGACCACTTCAGCGCCATTCCTGTAATTTTATCTGGTCTCATCCTAAACACATCGCCCATCCAACGCCATCTTCTTTTTTTCAACAACTTCTGAAACGCCCGACGCTTTCTATTTCACTTCGTAATCCTTCATTGCCGACGGCGTTGGGCCATTGGACACCTTTTATGTTAGCTGTTATCGGAGTCAACTTCAATGTCACAACTTTCATTGTCTTTGTTTCTTTATGGAGATATGCTCCTCTATCAACGAATGCTTTATAACTTTCTGCTTTGGTTTCTGTAGAGGTTATTCAACCCACGACCTGGAGTACCAAGTACTAGCTTTGGTCTTACAGTCTTCCCCTACCCACGAAGCTCTTACCAGCTTGTTTCAAGCTGCAGGGGATTACGCTCGAGCTATAATATAGGGAGTGTAAATGAAGCGCGCTGTTTGGCGTCAAGTAATTTCTTGTAAAGATAGATAGAGGGACAAATAAAAACAATTTTTTTTAATTTAAAAAAAAACAACACTTACCCAAAGCTGATATTGTGTGCAAACTTTCATAATTTCTGCAGGTTTTTTTTTCATTCGTTTGTTTGAAAGCACGTAGGCCTGCCTTGTTTTATTTAATCAAATAAATAGAAAAAATTGTATGAAACACCGCGCACTATGAATGATTTCAACTGTATACCAACCAGGCTGATGTCTTGGGTTTCAAGATAAAAATAATAAAACGTTTGCTCTTAAAATAATGAAATACAAAAATCGATCATCCTATCTAATAGTACTGTAGTTCTTCACAGAGTTGGAGAGGCTGTGTTGTCAATTGAAAGAACAAAGTGGGGCTTTCAAGAAGAGGTTCATTGTTAGGAATTTGTATTAATATGCATGTATTCTGGTGAGGCAGGTTGTTTGTTCTTAGTTGGATTTTAAATTTTTCTATTCAGTATCTCATTTGTGAAAGCGTGGGTGTAGCGACTATTCATATATATATATATATATATATATATATATATATATATATATATATATATATATATATATATATATATATATATATATATATATATATATATATATATATATATATATATATATATATATATATATATATTATATATATATATATATATATATATATATATATATATATATATATATATATATATATATATATATATATATATATATATATTTATATATATATATATATGTGTGTGTGTGTGTGTGTGTTTGTGTGTGGTTGTGGGGGGGGGTTAGATGGATGGCTAGATATATACACTATTATATTTATTGCTAGCGTATCTGTCTCCGCGCGTTCCGCTGGGATAGAATGTGACCTACTTAGGTCTGGTAATTTTTATTTTTACATTTGTTATACCATAAATGGTCTGTGGTGCAATCACTGGTTTTTTCCACTGTCTTAAGAAAGTCTTAGACTCAGTATTTTTCCATTATGAGATGATTGGTTGATTCGGACCAGGTGATACCCCAACCAATAGCCTTATGATTTGAAGGTGACCTTCCATGTTGCCTAAGTCAATAAATAGACCGCGCACAGGTTTCTCGAGGCAGTTACTTGACCAGACATCGTTGAGAGATAATAAGCCCTGTGTGTCGCCGTGTAGTAGTTTAAGCAGCACATTCTTATATTACTTGTGGTTAAGTAATACTTTATGCTTATAGCAGTGTTGTGTAAACTGTGGTGATTTTTCTGAAGTGTTAAAAGCTGTGATAGTGTATCATATTATTTTTTTCCACAAATTGTAAGTTGGGTTTTGTTCATTCTGTAAATCTATTTTATCCTGTATAAATCTAGTGTCCTGCCATGAATTTGTACACTCATTAAAAGTTATATGCAGATTAAATGTATTGTTGGCATCAGTAGTTTCTCTAGTGTTTCCCCTAGACGTCAAGTACGAGTCCTAGTGAACTATTGTGTTAGCTTACTTTTATTTAGGCTTTTCGCCATCTGTGTATAATCATTTAAACGAATCCGGGAGAGTTCGCCAACTATCTGGCTGATAGATTGGTGTTCGTTACAAGAAGAAAGTCTGACGAAATATCAATGCATTACTAAACCTATGTTTGTAGACCCGTTATATTGTTTACTAAAACTGAGTTTTTTTTAAATGTAAACAATGTCTGCGCTTCGATCATACATATCTGGACACGGGTTTACCCACACTACCGCATGAAAACCTTGAATGTACGTTAATAACTCATAGCAATAATGAGGTAGAACACACTCCAGTGACCGCCCATGTGTCAGGGACGTAGGTGGCGCTCTCGGGGGCCCCCAGATTACACTACCGCAGAGATGCCGCGTACGGACCCTGGCTACTTAGGGATCGTCCATAAATGACGTCACGCTCGTAGGGGGGAGGGGGGTCCGTTATTTTGTGACGGTGTGTTATGGGGTGGAGGGGGTTTGGTTTCAGATGGTGCGACGTCACACTTTTGCATTATAAAAATGCCATGTTAGAAAATGAATTTTAGACGTTATTTCGCGTTTTAGACAACTATTTTAATAAATTGTAATAGGAATTGATTAAAATACTCTATATAGACAAAGTTTAGACAAGATTTTAGGAAAATATCGATGTTTTAAGAAAAAAATTCAACTGCAATTTTGAGGGGGGTTGTAAGCTGAGGTGTGATGTCATTTTAGCGTGGGGGTATGGCTTTTTATGACGATGTGTGACGGAGGGTAGGGGGAGGGGAGGTAAAAATCGTCAAAAAAGCGTGACGTCATTGATGGATGACCCCTTAAAACTAACATAGGTGCCACGGCGCTCACAGGATAACCCAGAGCGCCAAATAGTATCCTTAAAAAATGATGCAGATTGCGTCATTTGCTATAGTAACACAGATCAACAGGATTTTTTCTTTAACACGTAGAAAAAAATTATTTGACGTGTATAAACATCAGTATGACTGATGAAATTTGTTAGCGTTACTAATGGTGAATTATTAGAAGCTCGATCTCAATTTCTGATCGTCTAAAAATGGATGCTAATTGCATCATTCGCAAAGTGACGAAACTGTTTTCGTCACTTTTCGTCAACAGAAAAGGAAACAACCCAGTTAATAAACTAACCTTGGTTAATTATTATTAATGTATTATAGGGCCCTTAGTGGCCTATGTGAGCCTTTGGGGGCCAAACTGAAATTTTAGTTCGAAGGAAAATCGCACTGTACCAGGGCGCCGTTAGACACGCCTGATTCAATTTAGTGAGCGACTGTAACGCACCATCTTATCCATTGTCTATCACACTGATCAGAACGATCTTAGTCGCCATAGCGCTGGTGGGAAAGAAAAGGGCGCCAAATCGCATCTAGCCGGGGCCGCCCGTGCGAAATTATTCCCCCCCCCCACCAAAAGAAACTTTCTCAACTCCCTAAAGTTTTATGGAACTCTGATAAACGGTGTCGAACCGCATCCGACTTTAATTTTTTTTTTAAATATCGCATATAGAGAAAAATCACACGCTCCCGTGGCGCCGCACTTGCGAAATTTAAAAAAACACTTTTTTTTCAGAAACCTCCCCTGGAGTGTTTAATTAACTCCACAAAGTTTCATGGCGATCGGATGGTGAACGATGTCAAGCCGCAATCGGCTTTTATTTTGAACATACCGTATATGGTGAAAAAACAAATCGCAACCTCCCGGGGAGCCACCCCTACGAATTTGAATTTTTTTTTCGCAGACACCTTCCGATTTGTATTCTCAACAACTTCTCAAAGTTTCATGGCGATCGGATTAAAAGTGTAGTAATGCATAAAAGACAAAGAGACAGACAGGCAGACATACACACACATATATTGCTTTATACATTATTTATATTTATTGTTTATATATTAAAATTACGTAGATGTATTCTTGAAATAATGAATACATGGAGAGAACTCGCTACATTTATTTATGGGGTAGATTAGGTAATTTTTAAGCATTAAAATAAAAAAAATAACATAAAATTAAAAAAAGCATGATATCAAAATTGTCTATTTATTTTAAAACTTGACCATGCTTACTTTAAGCATTGTGTTTTTATACAATGGGGCAACTAGAGATGTTCACAGGCTACGATATTTTCTTAATTTTATGAACCAATTGTACAAAAATAAGCTGATAATTGATGTACTGTAGTACAGTAAGCATGTCTTGTAGTCTGATGTTAATAAATTGTTTACATTTCAATGGGATATAAAAAAAATCTTTAAAATACATTATTTTCTCTCCCTTTATTTGCAAGTGAAGTTTTTAATACGATGATACATTCATCAGAACACATGTCAGACTAACATTAATAAACTTCAACTTTAATAAATATTTTTAAATATATTTATGAAACACGCGATATACTATTATTAAAACAGAACAGTACGGTTTCATTCAATAACATATTGCCACAACAGTGGTGGATGAAACATTCAATCAAACGGTGTCATAACTGTGAGCCAGAGAATAAAACTTGGATTTGCTGTTCTGTAGTAAATTGCTCGGAGAATCAACTTCTATAATTTTACCTTGCTCTAGCACAATAATTCTGGAAAGTCAAATAAATGATTTTAAAATGTAAGCAAAAATGTGTAATCCATAACTTTATATTGCAAGCTTACTACATCTATAAGATGATTAAAAAATGAAATTTGGTGAATTTTGTAAAGGTAAGCTATATTAAAACTCAATGTGAATGTGACAAAATATGTTTACATTCTGTTAATAATATTTAAAATTTTGAAAGCCATATCTAGACTAATAGTACAAAAGAGGGTATAGACGAAAATATTACACGTTAAACATAATTTCATCCCCTTTATACATTCAGTATTTTGGACTAATCCTAACCTGTCATAATCCATGACTGTGTGAATTCTGTGGGCTATGGTGATCACTGTACAGTCCCTAAAAGCAGTCCTTATAGTTTTCTGAATAAAATCATCTGTCTCTATGTCCACTGAAGCTGTTGCTTCATCAAAAACTAAGATTTTTGTCTTTCTCAGTAGAGTTCTGGCTAGGCAGATCAGCTGTTTCTGCCCCACACTAAACACAAACAAGTTGGTAAAGGTTGTTTATGTTGAGGAGATTAATTTTAATTTTATCTGAGAATACATTTCGTACTGAATAATATGAGAAGTGTGAAATCATATGACTAGAAGTGATTTTACTAACCTGAGATTTTCTCCACCCTCCCCAACATCATATTCCAGCTGATTGGGCAACTGTTGAACAAAGTCTTTAAGGTTGGCATGTTCTAAGCTATCCCAGAGTTCTATGTCAGATTTTTTGTTGGATGGGTCAAGATTCATGCGCAAACTTCCAGCAAATAGTACTGGATCCTGAGAAAAAATCTTTGTAAGCTAAATTTAAATGCAAAAACTAAAATGTTCCTTTTAATTTAGTTCCTAAAATATTTAACAGAAAAGCTTTAAAATAATTTGTTATTTGAGTTAGCTGTATGAGTGTAGGATAATAAACAGATACCTGTTAAGAGGATTCATTACCTGTGGCAGTATGGTGACAGCATGTCGAAGTGTGTGTAGCCCAATCTTTGAAATGTCCACACCATCTATTGCAATGTACCCACTTGCTGCTTGAATCAAACGGAAAAGGGCAAGAACCATAGAAGATTTACCTGCCCCTGTTCTTCCTACAATTGCAATCTAAGATTCAACAGAATATTACATCTATTACGTTATGATTTAAATAATATAAAACAGTAGTTTTTTTGTCAATTGTTTATAAGAATAATCAATTTAACTTTGATTAAAGGATTATAATAAAATTATTGAAATATACGTTCAATACAATTATATCTGCCATATTAAAAACACACTTTCATGTTTTACCTTTTCTCCAGCATTTATCGACACATTGATATTTCGCAGCACAAAATCTAATCCTTCTCTGTATCTTGCACTATAATTAACAAATTCTATATTTCCATTCAGTGGCCACACACCTGATAATCTACTGTCATCTGGCAAAGTCCAAGGAGCCTGGGAGAAAAATTTACAGTTTATAATATTGTCATGCTATTTTGACTGTTAACATTTAAAAATAATTAATAATGGGCTACATTAAAATTTTACCTCGTTTTTAATTTGTGAATATTCTTTGATTCTCTCGACAGATATAATGTTTGATTCAAGGTCACTTGACATTCTTGTCACCAATGTCATGTCATTTGTTATCTATTAATAAAAGTATACATATATTTAAAACAATTTAATTTACAAATAACTAACAATGATTTTACTTAATAAATAAACACTGCATTAACATTAAAAACAACAGGTAGGCATTAGATTTTAAAATAAAAGTTACATTCCACTTACCATTAATACAAAAGTAATGGACAAACTGACCAGACCTGGGGCCACTTCCCCTCTATTAATTATTGTAAAGAGGGTAACACCAGCAATTAAAATATATGTAATAATATCCAAACGAGTTTGCACCCATCTGTGAAAAAGGGAATGTATTGTTTTAATAATAATAATATACAATTTAAACGTTTATTACAACCAAGCGAAAAAATATATTAAAATACACTAAATATTTAAAAAATGCTGTCCAAGTTGTTAATTCTTTTTAGGGTTTAAAAAATGGAGTTACAGAAACCACTTACTTGTTTGTTGCATACATGATCATCATAGGTCTCTGAAAGAAGTCGACCTTCATGTGAGAGTCTTGTGTGAACCTCAGCTGCTGCCTGTGTGCTCTGATGACAGTCAGACAAGACAGTGTCTCGCTGAAGTGAGCAAATACAGGTGAGCGATTTTTGGATGTGATACGCCTCAGCTGACATGAAGTCCTAATGTAATATTGCTGGCAAAAATAATTGTTGAAGGTAGAAACAATATTATGAGTTAAAACAGGAAGTACAGTATGGCTACCTTAAATAAATCCACATAAATGCAATGAATGTTAACTAACTTAACCCCCCCATTAATACTAATGTTCATAGGACGGAGTGGTCTAGCGGTAGAGAGATGGGCTGCTAACCCTTAAGTCTCGAGTTCGAATCCGGGTTCAAGTCAGTAGACCGTCCCTGAGACCTAAATCTGACCTAACTCACGTCAGGGAAAGTCAAGGCGGCTTGGTATAGTGCTGACCACAATATCTAATGTTTCAAGCAGGTCTATTAAAAACTTTAAGAACACTTCGTTTAAAATGTTTATTAAAAAAAGTCCCACATATAAATGTTATTTAAAAAAACAACATAATGTGTTAAAAAATCTTTACCTGCACAATAATAAAAAGGAAGACAGGAACAAACAACACACCAAGGAATCCTGGGAAAATATAGCTGATAGTACCGAGAATTCCCAAAGAAAACATCAAATGCTCAATAAATACTTCCAAATGTAAAAATATTTCACTGTCTAGAACATCCAAATCTTGACTAAACCTGTTCAAAATTCGGCCCATTGGAGTTGTATCAAAAAAACTCATGGGTGCTCTTAGCACTGCATTTATAAGTTTTGCATGTATCCATCGACAGGTGGTCACATGACGGAACTGGAACAGTCCTGAATATACCAAACAGCAAAAGGCTGTGGACAACAGTAAAACTTTAAAGTACTTCAAATTCAAGGAGCACATGCCATATTACATTAACACATATTTTAAATGAATTTTACAATTTATCTGGTAAACTACTTATTTCCAACATTGAACAAAGATCCTTTTAAAAACTATGAGATTGCTTTAGAATCATTATTAAATCATTATTAAAAACCAGCAACTTAAAATTTGAAAACGTCTTTAAAGTTTTAATTTCAAACTTACACTGAATACAGCCCCATATAAGATACGACTGAACATAATGTTTATTTATCTCATATCTTTCATTGCTGTTAGTTGGTAACTTTGTCATGTTGGACAATCGAATATCTCCTATCCACATTGTCAAAATTATGTATGCTGCATTATAGGCAACATGGAAGCCACATATAAAAACAGCTGTCAGGAAAACATATGGTACACCATAACCTTTGATGATATCCAAATAAACTTTCCATTTGACCTGAGTGTAAAAAGGAAAATATAATTACAATAGTTATTGTACAATATAAAGAAAACAATTATGGAAATCTAAAGTGACAAGTCAAAACTCCATACTTTTCCTATTTGAGTTTCTTCCAATGTTGTGAGTTTGCTCCTATCAATAGATCCATCTTCCTGTTCTTTTAAACACACACCTAAATCACTGCAGATTTATTAAAATACACTCATATTTACAATCATCATTTAAAAGTTTATGTTTAGGTTTATCAAGTGATCAATAATCAAATATAGTGAGAAAAACTATTAACTTTGAGAATTATTTTAATATGAGATTAGGCAAAAACAGTTCCTTGAACTTTCTCAAAATTACACAACAAATATCAACTTGCTTTTGAAGGCTACTATTCCTTTTGTTCTGTTTGTTGGTAGTTTGTTTTAACATTCTTCCTATTTAAAATTTTGTTCAGGTTTATATTTGCGTTCATTGTAGATACACTTTAATTATAACAAAAAAATTCAAGGATTAAAATATATAACTTTAATTGTAGCTTACGCAATTATAACTATTTAAATAAAGACAACACAAATTATTTAACTTGGCTTTGTTTTATATATCATACATTCAAACATTACATCAAATTTTAGTACATAACAACTATAATTATTAAACTGAAAATAAATATCAAATAATGTAGTAAAACATTACTATAAAATGTTAAGCGAAATAATCTCAGTCTGATCCATATTCAGTGGTAGTACCTTTAGATAGCAACAGTAGTATGTTTTCAAAGCGCTTGTTCCCAAGATGTAAAATTTCAGGGCCCCCAGAATCTACAATTTTACCATCATGCATAGCAACAACCAAGTCAACGTTTGACAAAAAATGAATTCCATGTGTGACTAGGACACGAGTCTGTTAAAATATGTACACCGTTGTTTTTGTTTTAATTATACGATAACTAAACATCTTAATAATTACAATTACAAAAACAACAAATAATAAATCAAGAAATGTATCCCAAATAGGATAGTAGGGAGTTCGGTCTAAAGGATAACCATTTGTTTATTGGTAAAATTATCAAAAACATTTAAATTTACATGTAAATATTCTGGGTTTAAGTATAAAACGTTTTGGTAAGTTAGCATAGATAAAAGTTTGCCTTATCTAAAAAAAATTAACATCCTTGCTTTAAAATTTTTAAACACTTTTAAAACTATTTTTGTGACTTGTAAAGAAAAAAGTAAATAATGAGAAATATAAAACAGATTTAAAATCTATTTAACTTTTGTGGCCTGTTTTGAAAAATAGAAAAATTCAGACAAACCTTCCTGTTTAAAAGTCCAGTGTTGCTGATAACATGTTGGAAGATGTGTTGTCCCACATGGCTGTCCACTGCACCCAATGGATCATCAAACAGGTAGATGTCAGCCTGGCTATAGACAGCTCTTGCTAGAGAAATTCTCTGCTTCTGTCCACCTGACAAGTTCACTCCCTTGAAAGAAATTTGATGCCAGAAAAAACTTTTAAAAAATGTAATTAAAATATTTTAATATATGATTTCTTTATATGAATAATTTGAATTATCTGTAAAGTGTGTAGCATACTAATAATAATTTTAAGGATTTGTAAGTATTAATTAATCAATTGATCAATTAATCTTCAAGATGTCTGTATTGAACAATCAAATTATTTTACTAATGTGTTTGTATTAATTAAATGAAAATGCGTGTAAATTAAACAATCAAATTGTCTAGAAGATGTATGCGTATTAACTAATCAAACTATCTTAAAGATGTGTGTGTGTGTACTAATTGATCAAATGATCTTAAAGATGTGTGTATATCAATTAATCTAATTATCTTATTGATGTATGTGAATTAATTAATCAAATTATCCTATTGATGTGTGTGCGTACTTTCTCTCCAATTTCTGTCAGGTCACCAGCAGGTAAAATCTCTAGGTCTTGGTTCAAAGCACAGGCAGCAATGACAGTTTTATAAAAAGTTGGATCAAATTCCTGGCCAAATGTAATGTTCTCTCTCACTGTTGCATTCTGGATCCAAGCTTGCTGTGGTACATAGGCTAGAGAGGACTAAAACAAAATACATTAAATTTCTTTTATTCATCAAAAGAAGATAAAGGCATACTTTCATCTTGAAAACAAGTGTATTGGTATTTTAGCAAGTGATTTTCTAAAGGGTTCATTAATTCGATAATTCAACTTAGAAACAAGAATTTATTTTCAATCTTAACTATGTTTTTGAAGTAAATCAGCAAATTGCATTTAATACATTTCTTAGTTATTAGTAATCAATGAAAAAAGTTGGGGAAGAGGGAATGGGATTTCAGAATTCACACGATTTTGTAATACGAGCTTTAATAATGACATCACACAACTAGGGGGAGGAGGTAGGGATGGGATGAAGTGTGATAAAAAGGAAAATTAAGAGCAAGTGATGAGAATGGCTTATTTAGACAATATTACTTTTATTATTTCATGAATCAAACCACTTATGTAAGAATTCTTACATTGATATTTGAGCTGCCTGAAGTCCTGTTCATCTCTCCCAGTAGAGCTAGCAGCAGAGATGATTTCCCAGCACCGACTGACCCCACCACTGCCACCAGCTTGCCAGGCTCAATCTTTAAATTGATGCTTGAAATTGTAAAATAATAACATTACGTTATACAAAACAATTTTTTTGAGCTAAAATCAAATAACGTTTGTTGATTGTGTAAAATAAAAAATATCCCATATTATAAATAAATTAAACCAGAACTTTATTTAATTATTTACACGTGTTAGCGTTAGTCATTTATACTAATTTATTTTAATTGTACACATTCTATAACCTACTTTTTGAGGATCATATTTCCTGATTTTCCCCATGAAAATGAAGCATTGTCCACCCTTATGGCAAGATCTGTAAAAAAAAAACAATAACATTTTTTAGAAGATTTAATTAATCAATAAAAAATGAAATAAAAGATATTTTTAAAAATTTGTTTATAAAAACTGCTTTTACCATCTAAAGTGTTATATTCAGTTGAGTCAAAGTCTTCTGTCTGAAGAAATTTGTTAATTCGAACAATAGAACCAGCCATCTAAAGACAATGAGATGAAAATAAATAAAAACTGTTGAAAATTACAAGAATTATAAATTCATTAGGACACCACGGCAATAATAACACTACTTTTGTTTTGCATGCGTAATCTTCCATTTATAAAAAAGTTATATATATATATATATATATATATATATATATATATATATATATATATATATATATATATATATATATATATTTCTATCATCCGAATATATTTGTGAACAGATGTTTTTGCAATACATTTTTATTTCTATAAAGTATTTTTTGATAAAATATTACACCCAATCCTGAATGGGTTTTTTTCTGTTCAGAAATCCCCCCCCCCCCCCCCACGACACACGCACACCCCACACATCTAATACTGTTTTAAACACTAAAATAACTGACTAATCTACATACTTTAACAGCATACTTGATGTTAAGAGGAAAATTTGTTATGGCCATCCTGATCAAATTTATATAATTTATTGCAAGGAAAGCTGTTCTTGTGCTGAGAAAATGATTCTTATCAAAGCTGACGTAGGTCACCAGCATAAGGAATGTTATCTATAAAAAAAAATTAATCAAATCATTGACTCACTTGCTGTTGAATGATTATTCAACGCTGTTTTAAACGCATTTAAATTTGATCATCTAATTTTAAAGAAAGAAAAACAAAAATATGTTACTCAAGTGCAAGTCTATGAATTAGAATTAACGCAAAGTCTGGCAAATATTTTTTCTCTAAAATTAAAATTACCCAGAACGTTGCTCCTGTGTAGGCAAACGTGTCGATCCAGTCACACATTGAATGTTTCTGTAAAACCTTCAGCTCTTTTTCTCTAATGCTCATTATTTTAGAGATAAACATGGGTTCCCAGCCATATAACTTTATAACCTTTAATAAAACAATAGTGATTACAACATTATTCATTTAAAGCAATTAGCGAGGTATCCTGATAATTATCATCTACAAACAAAAAGCTAAATTGATTTTTATTTGAGGTGTTAAATATAAACGAAGTAGAAATTTGCAAATAAAATCTTTAGGCAATAAGGCTTAAAATATGCAATTAGTTCTCCGTAGTACCTTGATGCCTTGCAGTATTTCACTCATTATGTTTAGTCTTTCGTCTTTCACCACCATCATCTCTTCGTGATAAGTTCTCATTTTTTGTGTTATAGCAAGATTGCTTAGTAACATCAAGCAAGTTAAATCTAACCCTAAAATAAAGTGATCATGCAATACATCTTTAATCGATGTATAATTATTATTTTTATAATTGATTTCTAAATCAGCCTATTGTGCTAAAGAAGCTGCTGTTTAATAAAAGTGTTTACAGCAATTTTAATATTATCACTGTTTGCGTTGGTAATGAAGGGGAAGTTTCATACAAATTACATACACTATTAGGGTAGTCTTTTTTCGACATAGAAATGTACACAGCAATTGATTTCGTTCAGCATGAAAATAGTTATTTTAACGTTTAGACTAAGTCGAACTAAATTTGAGACATATCCATGATAAATATATATATATATATATATATATATATATATATATATATATATATATATATATATATATATATATATATATATATATAGTCATATATATATATAGTCATATATATATATATATATATATATATATATATATATATATATATATATATATATATATATATATATATAGTCATATATTTAAATAAATTAAAAAATAATATATATATATAGTCCAATATATATATATATATATATATATATATATATATATATATATATATATATATATATATATATATATATATATATAGTCCTATATTACCTGTTAGCATTGCGAATCCAATGACAGTATACAGCAAGTAACACCCAAAGGCAAAGAGCAAAATACTCATCCATATCCAAAATGCCCCATTTAGACACAGCTCGAAGTGATTTGTGTCGACAGACATTAAGTTTGAGATTTCCCCCAAGCCAAAGATTTTTCGAGATTCATTGGACAATCGCAAAGACTGCAATGCAAACAGTAATTTATAAATATCAATTAAACATTGGCTCTACTTATTTCTAAAATTGTAGGTTTTGTATTTTTTACATAACTCGTGAATAAATGTCTCTAACAACTATGAGAATCAAAAGGATTGTGCGCAAATTTTAAATATTGTTTTCACAATTTTTCTTTTTTTATAAATTTAAATCAATTTCTAAAATAGTTTTCTTTGTACAACATGTAATACATCTGTCCTATCGTGAAGATTATCAAGAATTAAGTTCTCTATATCGTCACAGTTGTCTGCAAACAGTAATGTTTTCAATATTTTCACCACTTACCATAAAATACGTTATATAATCTTACTAATTATACTGAAAAAATACAATAGTGTTTTATGGTAAAACAATAATTGAAAATCATGTTTTTAAACAAGCAAAGCTACTAGATGTTCCTCATCGTAATAAAAAATATAAAGTGTTAGTGTGGTCTTCAAAGTGAAAGTTCCATTAATTTGAAAATCCATCCAAAATATACATTCCTAATTCATTCTTTAAAAAAAAACTAATTGTGTAATGTAATTGGTGGATTACAACAAGTTTAACAGATCTAAATTAATTCAATTTCAATTATTTTGAATTTTAAATCTTTAGATTTTTATGAGATCAATATGTTCATTGGTCCGCAAAGGTTTGATCACTTCAATTTTTTTTAAATGATTATCATAATAGTTTCATTTTTATAACCAATCTTAAGTGTTACATGACCTACTTAGGTCTTGTATTTTTTTTAGTTTGACTTTTATTGCTCAACCATGAGTGACTGTGTTGCAACCACCAGGTAATTTTCCATAGTTCTAAGAAAGACATATACCCTAGTACTTTTCCATCACGAGTGGTGGTGCAATACTTTTATACTTTCGATTGGTTGATTCGGACATCAGAGTTGTCCCAACAAATAGTCTCACGTTTTGGAGGTGACCTCCCATGTTGCCTCAGGTGTCAAATGGTCTGCGCACACACTTCTGCAGGCAGTCCACCGCAGCAGTACGTAGCAGCAAGTCAGACCAGACATCTTTGAGAGAGAAAGCCTTGAGTGTCGCTATTTTGTAGCCTATAGTTTTAAGCAGCATTTTTCCTTTATTACTTGTGGTTTTAAGTAATATTTTGTGCTTTAAGCAGTGTCGTATAAGCTGTGGTGATTTTCTTGAGTGCCATATCCTGTGATAGTGTTAAATAGTGTTTTTTCCTAAAATTGTAAGTTGGGTTTTTGATATTCTACTCATTCATTGTATTCTGTATAAAGCTAGAGTCTTACCTTGAATTTGTACACATATTAAAAGTTATATATGGATTAAATGTGTTGTTGGCATCAGGAGTTCATCGAGTGTATCCCCTAGACGTTAAGTACGTGTCCTCGTTAACTGTTGTGCTAGCTATCATTTATAGGGCTTTAAGCCATCTGTGTATAACCATACAAACGAACAAACGAACGTTCGCCAGCTATCTGGCTGATAGAGTGGTGTTCGTAATAGTTATAAGATTTTTGCAGATTTTAAACTTCTCAAGCTAAATAGTCAATTTGGATATTTTTGTTAAATCTTATAAAGTAGGCTATGTATATTTCAGATAATGTGAAAAACTGCAGTTATTGTATTTACATGATGCGTCAAGTTTAAAAAGAAACAAGTATTTTAAAAAAAAAATTCATATTTGAACCACATTTAGGAATTCACCCGCTCTGTCTTTTGTTAGCCTAAAAAATTACGATTATAATATCGTGCGGATTTATATGTAAAATGAAAGCCAAAACGAACTCAACAAAAATTTCAATATCACACGAGAAAAATACCTTTCGAAATATGGCGCCAATAGCAGCACTACGTACTCGAATGGCCAGTCTGTTACTTAGGTACTCAGACGATTGGCTGAAAACTGTGGTCAGCATTTTGGAGGCTAAAAGCAACATCATAAAGACATAGCCATGCCAGTGTAGCTCTGTTATATTTACACTGTAGTCTATCAACCAACTGAAAAGAAAAGAAGACATATGACTTACGAAACACTACAACAGAAACTAAAACACCTCAAGTTAATAGGATGATATAGGGCCTAGAGGGTACAAATATAATTTGTTTTATTTTGTTATTGTAAACTTTTTAAATAAATTTCATTTTGTATTGTTTTTTAACTTTCAAGTTTTACACTAGGCAGAGAAACGAACAACATTTCGAAAAAGTTGTAACACGGAAATTAAAGTCTAACGAAATTCTCACCCTATCAGTTATCGTATTTATACAGTTGGGAACCAAATGGTTTTGTTTTAATATCTAATATCACCTTTACTACCCCCAACCCATTATCATATTACATTTTTGTTTAGCCTACGGAGATAAATGTAGCCTTTCCTTAAAACAACATGTTATTTTGATTTCATTAGCCAATGAGTTGTACATCGCGTGTTCTCGTGTGTTTGTACTTGTTGAATACATCATTATGCAGTATTGTAGATTTTAAGACCTAAAGCCATTTGGTCGAATGGTTAACCGTTGTTTATTAAAGACCAAAAAAATAAATAAATAAAAAATAAGTGATTTAAAAAATGTATTACATAAAACGTTATTTCCTTCAACTCACCCAAGAATGAAGGGGATAAATAAATTCATAGCCACATAAACCAACATCCCAATATTGCAATATAAAAACTCCCATCTGAAGGTTAAAAACAGAGCCATGAAGAACGATCTTTGTTTTGGCTTATTTGTTTCATTGCTAGCATAGCTCTTGACGGCGTCGTAGGATCGTCTCTCTGTGTCTTCAACTTTGTTAACGACCACAAGTTGGGTTTCATTGTAGCTTGGCGTAGCTCTTATCCACTTCCTGGGTCTCCTTTTTGGAGAACTGTCAATAATAGGTTTTTTTAAAGTGAATTTTAACTTTTGGGTAAGTGGAGATCATGTACATAATATATAGTTATAACACGGCTGTAGAAAATTACGTGAGAATTGTGACAATAATTCTCTATATTAACCGTATCCATATCGACACAAGGGATCTAATAAAAATAACTTTGATTCATAGAATAATACAATGGATTATATTTTAGATTCCACAACGATTCCTAAAAGTGAGATAACTAACTTGAACGGCTTTTAAACATTAACCGCTGTTGTTGATATAAAGATTTGTAAATGGATAAAGTAGCTAAGTGTTTCAAACATGGTTGAAATATTGCTGTTTAAAATAAACGTGACTCTAGTTGATTTAATGTTATTTAAACTCGATCAATATCGTAATGGAACTTAACATTTTTTTAATGATAATCTCAGAATCTTTAGCACATGATTAATTGTTTACAGCCAATGTGAGTGTTTGTATTCTAAAACTGTGTAGCCACACACACAAAAGGGACATAATGGCACCTGATAAATACTGTAAGTAAAACGATACACGAATTTAAAAATGTAGGTTTGCATAAAATCAAATATTACTCACATGTGTGTGGTAATTATCAAGTTTTTAATGAGGGCATCTGTTACTGACGACGACGTGTCCTGCGGCATGAGATCGTATGTATCATCATCTTGTAATGGACGTTTGTATCCCAGCCACAATAGGCTACAAATACAGACAGGACTAGTTAGCTAGAAGACAAAGTTTGGACGTGTGACTGACTTTTGTGTTTGAGTGGTAATCAAGTACCCTTTCAAACTTTAGGATTCATGGGGAAATGGAAGTAGAGTTCAACTGATTCAATGACCTCGGTATTATGACGTGATATTGTGATCAGAACTATACCCAACCACCTGGGTGGACTCGGGGTCGATCTACTGACACGAACTCGAGACTTTCTGTTTAGCAGTAGTTTTCTACATCTTGGTCCGGCTAAATGTCAGACATCTATGTCCGGCTAAATGTCAGACATCTATGTCCGGCTAAATGTCAGACATCTATGTCCGGCTAAATGTCAGACATCTATGTCCGGCTAAATGTCAGACATCTATGTCCGGCTAAATGTCCGGCAACAACTTACGGTTCCAGCCACGTGAAGGAGATCCAGGATAAAACAGCAGCCGATGTCTCAGGGTTATGTGACTGAGGAGACAGGAATAAATCAGATTTATAAATGACACAACCTGGTGCGGTTTTATTGATGATCGCGGATAGATAGCTGGAACATTCTATTGTTCGGCAACTTTAGCTGGTGTAGAAAACAGTAAAATACAAATATTCCAGAAAATACGTTTCATGTATGAATATATGAGGTCGGCTGCTAGATCTATGAGTGATTAGTGTTTTACCTAAAAAACAACAATTAGAAGACTAAAATTGTAATTTAAAGCGTAACTAAATGAGGTACGGTTTATGTTAACAAATAGGCCTACAGATCTCTGCGTCTGCTTCTTTGACTTATTAAAGTTAAAGTAAAAAAATAAACGTTTTTGTCACAGGCTGTATTATTTGGTATGTTTATTATATTGTGTTTTACATGAAGTTGCATGAATGTAGAGTACCTGGCTAACGGAAGGACTGTCTCAGCGACTCGTCATGTATTTTTCCATGCTTTTGAGAGATCGCTCATTGACGAAAGGGGAGAGAATGGAAAGTATAATAGGGGGAGCGAAAGGTGAACGATGTGTGCTTGCCTGTGACTGTGTAGTAAGATGTAAGATGTCACCACGTCAGTTTGTTCTAGACTATAATGTAATAGTCATTTTTCTACTGTGGAATATCATTATTGTTTCTTATGGATCTATGTAAATAAAGTTTGAAGTTACAAAGCACTGTAAATCGTATTCTTGGATGAACGAACCCACAATAACAACAGTATCATCCTATCAACAATATTCCTGTTGTTACATTGGTGTCAGAAGTGGGCGTATATTCCTGTTGTTACAGTTTTCATAAAATTTGGAAAACCGATGTCTAGATAATTTTGGTTTCTAGTACAACAAAAAAAATAACAATATTGTTGTTTGTAACTGTTCACAATTAGATTAGTGGGTGACCGGGTGTAGGTGCTGCTAAAGACCCGAGAGAAAAGTTAAATCACGTGCTGAGTTGGATACTAAAGCATGGCAAACGTTGCTCTTAAAAATAGAAGAAGTTTGATGAAGCTGACGTTGAAGTGTTTGAACGTCACAAATAGAAGACGTTTGATGGAGCTGACATTGAAGTGTTTGAACGTCACAAATAGAAGAAGTTTGATGAAGCTGACATTGAAGTGTTTGAACGTCACAAATAGAAGAAGTTTGATGAAGCTGACATTGGAGTGCTTGAACGTCACCTACAGAAAATGACAATGTTAGCGTATGTCTAACCTTGCCTTTAGCCCCATGGTACTCAGCAAAACACGTGACCACCAGAAGCCCTGTAGTCGCCACATACCGCACGACCACCAGGCTGAAGTTGAACGTGGCTCTTGCATGGTCCTAGACGTGGCAGAAATAATTGGATCACGTCTCAAATATTACAATAACTCAGTGTTTCAATAATGTAGATATTGAGGACAACTTTCAGGTACACTATAAGGAATAGGTGACAAAACAACAGCACACCTCCTCCTACACCTACTTCTACAACTTAGTACTAGCCCTAGCAGTAGCCAATGCCCAAACTCTAGCCCTGGCGCTGGCCCTGGCGCTGGCCCTAGCACAAAATTAAAGTTCTGAGTTTTACCCCTGTAGGTTAATCTGCCAATGGATACGCTACCATTTAGACGGACCCCATGGGCTTGGAAAAAAATGAATACATTTTAATTTTTTAAATTATAAAACAAAATTAAAGAGATAAATAACTAAAAACTCACTCCGCTCATTCCCTTTTCAAAGATTTTCACAAGCAAACAGAACGATGCCAGGGACCAGTAGACAAACATAGGGAAAGATCTGACAACGTTACGTGATTTCTCTAGTACAATGGTGCCTATGTAGAACATCTGAAAAAAACGAGCCTGTTACTCTTGTGTGACCAACATCAATTGATGGCCCCTCACATCAACCCCCCCCCCCCCCCCACACCCAACTAGAAGATGGAGTCACTCACCAGAATAACGACCTGAACCAGTACTACGGTGAGTCGGTCAGCCACTATTTCTTCCGTCACTAAACCAAAACCCCACGTGATATCAGCCGCCGAAAGGCACAAAGCTAAAATCTAAAGAAATATTAACTGTGTTACATTTTTTGTTAATAAAGGTTTTAACTTAATGTTATAGTCTATAGTTTAGGCTATTTTATGCCGTAAATAATTGAATGTAACTCCGAATTATGTTTCTGATTCCCACCATCAATGGTTTGTTTGATGTGTCGGTTACCTCACTTTGGAATCCAATGCTCTACCAGAACAGAAAAAAACGTACCAGTTTAGCAATAAAAATCCAGCAGACCGAATGTTTGTCACGTGACGAGGTCAGCAAGTGATACCAGTAGCACGGGGTCGTAAGTAAAAACCAGAAGGCCGGCGCCAGCTCTAGAACTGTGTTCTGGAAGCATTCTGAGAGCTCGGGCCATGTGTTGTTTGACCAGGCTAACGAAGAGTCCTTGAGGAATGGGAAAGTTTAGGCTTGACATGTTTGCAAATTAGAATAGGAAAGTTTAGGCTTGAAATGTTTACTAATTAGAATAGGAAAGTTTAGGCTTGACATGTTTACTAATTAGAATAGGAAAGTTTACATTTCACATGGTTACTAATCGGAATAGGAAAGTTTACATTTCACATGGTTACTAATCGGAATAGGAAAGTTTACGATTTAGAGATCTACATGTTTACTAATCAGAATAGGAAAGTGTATATTTTAATTTTTTTTCACAAATTATAATCAGGAGGTTAAAATTTCACAAGTTTGCGAATCAAAATATGGAAGTTTACATTTTATTTATTTAAAATTCAAAATATTTAATACTCCAAATAAAAGTAGGAAGCTTTACATTTCAGTTAATATTTTTACAAATCAAATAGGAAATGTTTCAAATTTTACAAATTTTCGCCTATAAAAACACAATATATTATTACAATTAGATCTACTTGTTTAGAATAAAAAGTGATTCGCATTTGTTTCTTCTGCAGTGTCCTCAGTATCATACCATCCATGTTATAAAGAGGTATTATTTGATGTAACCCATATACTGAGGACACCGATTGGCTCGTAGCTAAAAATTTGTCTGCGTTAACAGGCTATAATGTGTGTACTCTTGTGTTGTGTCATGTATTAAAATCTTATCAGATCAATACCAACTTTCTAATTAGACAATATCGAGCTGTTGCTCAGTGTTCGCGCGACCTCAAACAGAAATAGCTTACACTTAAAAGTAGGCCTACTAACAAGAATTTGAGAAGAACGAAATACAACTAAACCGGTAAGATCCTTAAAACTGGATGGCTTATGAAATTATACTTTATTCTGACAATGGTCCTCTTAATTTCATGATTTAAATTTTAAAAAATCTAAACGGTTGAGTTGATTACTTGCTGAGTTGATCTATGGTATGGAGGTATATAAGTGTACAAACAATAACTATCCCTAGTAATTATCTAGAATAAAGTAAAATGAGTAAATTAACATAATCTTGATTTTAAAGATCGTGAGGTGTATATGAGTTGTAGGGCTACCTATGTAAAAACAAACAAGCACGAAATTATAAAAAGAACTAAAAACTTACCCAGAGCTGATGTTGTGTGCAAACTTGTAGCATTTCTACATTGTAACAGGTCGCTTGTTTTATAATAGAAATAACTGAGCCCTAAGAAATACTTAACTGATCATAAATCTAGAAACGCAAAGGCATTGACAGATAGGAGTAGACTAGATCAAGACAGCCTATGTCCTTTTAACACAGGTTATATCCATTAATGTACTTTCTGAATGATCATTCTCAGTCAAAACCTAAAATGTGCAATGCATTCATGATCCTCTTGTACTGTATTTAATATTCTATACTTTTTGAACCATTAAAACAAAGATAAAGTGTGTGCTCTGCTGGCGTAAAGTAAGTGTTCACCTTTGGTGCGGCGGAAACTAAATTCTCGTTCGTGCGCAAATATGCTCAAATGGGCTGTGGGAATTTCCGAATGAAAATGTAATTTAAAGTTTTTAAACACCGATTATTTCGGCTGAGCATGTTGCTGACCACACTATCCCTTCATGAGCTCATGTCATATAAAATGTTGAACTATACGTCACCCGTCCCGTAGCCCTGCCAGGCCCGAAAGGCAACGTTACCATACACATCTGAAAAGAAGTCACACCGCAACTTCGATTAATTTGATATATTTTCTAAGCTTGTAGCTAATATGAATAAATTATTTAAGCTAACATCAAAATAATAGCAATAAATTGGAATTCGAAAAATTTGAAGGAATGCTACTCTTAACCATAACGTAAAATTGTGCCGAAGATTATTTTTAATTAAATTATAGTATTGAAAGACTACAATAGTTCAGTATTTTATTTTAAATCTACGAATAAAAGATCTGTTAAGAGTATCCTATCTCAAGTTAAAACATGTAGAGGGGGTGGAAGCAAGCGTTGTAATGGCCATATTCCGTACTTTTGTCTACCCTTAGCGATGAAATATCACTTTCTCTTTGTATTGCTATTGAAAGATAATAATATTATTGAAACCTAATAGAAATAATGAGCAGATGTATCTTTAAAGATATATGTTAGATAACGCATTAAACTTTTCAATCTCAAATAATTTTTAAATCGGACAGCCATTTTGTTTTCGAGCGAGGCATTCCGTGCAAGCTGCAAACTTCAGACCTGGTTGTTCGTTTGTATGATTAAAAGTGTGTTTTTACATAAGAATAAAACATGATTTTAATTTAAATCTTAAAATGAGTGTGTATATTTATATTTAAAATATAATCTAATTTAAATGTTTACACGTATATGGTTGTGTATTTACAAAATAATTTAAGAAAATTAAAAGAGCACTGCACAAAGCTACGCTAAAACAAATCGCACATTTTCCAAATCCCTAACCCTGTTCCTAACCAAAATCATATGCGTAAATTTCACCCTATCCCTAATTTTTATAACCCAACCGTTACTATTAGAGCGGCCCCTACCGTTACCGATAGCATTATTATTGCTGTTACTATTTCCGTTATCTTTACTATTACCAATATCATGACCGATATCACAGCCCGTATCATTACAGTTCCCCTTAATACAGCTCTCACCGTTACCCAAAGCGATGGGTAATTAACAGAGGGTAATGTCCTACTGCAGTTTTGTGTCAGAGTAAGATCCTGGGAGGTGGAGTATTTGACAGGGATAATTTTATCCGGTGATAATTACGTTGGTGAAATGAAGGGGATGGGGATTATTAATAATTAAATATGTAAAAATAGTTATTTATATGAACAATAACAACCGTAGGTAAAGATTACCTGCCCTAATGTTGTGGTATGTGTCTGCTAATTGATCAATATAAATGTTTTCAAATGGCTCCAAAATGTATTTCCATATATTCATACACATGGCATATATTGATCACAGTTATGAAATAATGTTTGCTTTTGGAGTATATTTTACTACTGTAAAATGCTATGCAATAAAATTAACAGACAAACCCATCATCAAACGTTTGGTACCAGATTTCTCATACCAATATGTTCATGTTCAACTTGATAATGCAAAATAATCTATTTATTTTAAAGCTTGATTGCGCTCACTAAAGATGTTCACAAGTAGAAATATGTTCTTTATTCGATGAAGCATTCACTATGTTTCACTTCTTTTTGTTTGTGTGAGGAAATGTCTCTATATACTTTAAGATACCAATATTTAATACGCCTATTAGGTTTTATATACTAAAATAAAGCCACAACAGAACTCATGAAAACATTCACTCAACGGGTATCATAACAGTGAGCCAGAGAATAAAACTTGGATGTGCTGTTCTGTAGTAAATTGCTTGGACCATCCACTTCTATAATTTTACCTTGCTCTAGCACAATAATTCTGTAAAAGACACCAAAAAAAATTAATAACGAAACTTTTAATTGATATTTGTGTGCCTCTGTATATTTATGTTAACTTTATATTATAAAACCATCACATTTAATAAAATCCATAGGATTTTTTAAAAATCTATAAAATCCAAATTTGCACAAAATTCAACATAGAATATCATTTCACATACTGTTAGAAACATTTAACATTTAGTATTTTATAATGTTCTGTTACGATGAGAGATACAGAAGAGAATTTATTGTCTCCAGTTGCGTCACGTGACTGGTGGGGTGGGGGGCGTTCTGCATTGGGTGAAAGAATTTAGGGGAGTGATACCATGATGAAAAATTGTAAAACTTACATTGAAAACAAAGATCTATTAAGTTAAAAAAAAAATTAGAGAGAAAGGGATGACACCTAACAAAAAAAAACTGTTAGAGAGGGTGAAGTGACACCCTCAGTTATCGCACCTAATGACGCCCATTATTATACCAATGGTGTTTCCAAAAACTAAATTCATGATTTACATCTATCAGTCATTCGACTTTGATGTCAGCATTACCTGTCATAGTCCATGACTGTATGAATTCTATGGGCTATGGTGATCACTGTACAGTCCCTGAAAGCAGTCCTTATAGTTTTCTGAATAAAATCATCTGTTTCTATGTCAACTGATGCTGTTGCTTCATCAAAAACTAAAATTTTTGTCTTTCGCAGTAGAGTTCTGGCTAGGCAGATAAGCTGTTTCTGTCCCACGCTAAGCACAAACAAATTGGAAAGTAAAAAGAATGTTTCAAAGATAAATTAGAAAATTAAAGGTATTAAAAAAATTGAGGTATCATTTTGAAGTAAGCAGCTAAATAATAAACAATTTTTGACCATGTTTCTTCTAGTCTAATGCAGCAATCGAGATCTGATGGGTTCCTACCACTGTTTTTTATTTGTTTTGATGTGTGTCTTAAACATGTGAAAAAAATGTAATATCGTATTTGACTGTATGTGATTTTACAAACCTGAGATTTTCTCCCCCCTCCCCCACATCATATTCCAGCTGATTGGGCAACTGTTGAACAAAGTCTTTAAGGTTGGCATGTTCTAAGCTATCCCAGAGTTCTATGTCAGATTTTTCCTTGGATGGGTCAAGGTTCATGCGCAAACTTCCAGCAAAAAGTACTGGATCCTGAAAACAGTTTTCATGAGCTGGAGATAATATTCGGATTCACATCTAATACTATTTCATAATAGGTCAGTGTTAGTGTAAACATGGTGTTAGTTTCTTACAATGTTTTACTCATAATTTAATAGGTGTCTTGGGGGTCATCCATAAATGACGTCACGCTTTATTTAACGATTTTTATCTGCTCCACTCCATCACACATCGTCGCAAAAAGCCAGACCTACCCCACCTAAAATGACGTCACACATAAATTGCAGCTGAATTTGTCTTAAAAAAGATATGTTATTCAAAATTTTGCCTGAACGATGTCAACATAGAGTATTTTAATCAATTGCTATTAAAATTTATTAAGGAGTTTTATAAAATGCGAAATAACGGTAAAAATTCGTTTACTAGCTTTGCTTTTTTATAATACAAAAGTGTGATGTCACGCCATCTGAACCCCCCTCCCCTTCATTACACACCGTCACAATATTACGGATCCCCCTTTTTCTACGAGTGCGACGTCATTTATGGACAAACCCTTTGATGATAATATCTAACATAAAGATCAGTACGACGAGTATTTTTAAAAGTTTGGTATCCGGATAAAATATTTTTGCTGAAATAACTTTTAAGATCACTGTCTACCTGTGGCAGTATGGTGACAGCATGTCGAAGTGTGTGTAGCCCAATCTTTGAAATGTCCACACCATCTATTACAATGTAGCCACTTGCTACTTCAATCAAACGGAAAAGGGCAAGAACCATAGAAGATTTACCTGCCCCTGTTCTTCCTACAATTCCTATCTAAGATAGAAAATAATATTATCAAGTCTAAAAAAATACATCTATTTCGTTGTAGTTTAAATAATATGCAAAAAATAGTTTATATTTGTAAATTGCTCCGCAAAAAAGTAAATTAAACTTTAAATAAAAGAATTTTCATAAATATTAATTCTAAGATAAAACTGTATTGGCTCAATTGAAAAAAAGGGAATAAATTTTTAAGTTTTACCTTTTCTCCAGCATTTATCGACACATTGATATTTCGCAGCACAAAATCTAATCCTTCTCTGTATCTTGCACTATAATTAACAAATTCTATATTTCCATTCAGTGGCCACACGCCTGATAATCTACTGTCATCTGGCAAAGTCCAAGGAGCCTGGGAAAAAAAAGATTATTTTTATCACTATTTTTGTCCTAAAAAAATTCATAATTTTCAATGTTAACATTTTCAAAAATACTAAATAATGGTAAATTTGGTAAAAAGTTCAATATTATTTTTACCTCATTTTTAATTTGTGAATATTCCTGAATTCTTTCCACAGATATAATGTTTGATTCAAGTTCGCTTGACATTCTTGTCACTAATGTCATGTCATTTGTTATCTTCATAAAAAAACATGATCCTTCATTAAAATTTCTTAAAATAGACATGAAACTAAATATGATTTTAATTATGAAATGTACACTATATATCCGTACTTTAAAATATTAAGAGGAAGTTACAAGAAGGCTATTGATTTTAAAAAAAATAGAATTAATCTTACCCTTAGTATAAAAGTGATCGACAAACTGACCAGTCCTGGTTCCACTTCCCCTCTGTTGGATATTGTAAAGAGGGTTACACCAGCAATTAAAATATATGTAATAATGTCCAAACGGGTTTGCATCCATCTGTGAAAATGGAAATTTATGGTTCTATTAAAAAACAGATTAAACTTAAACTTATGACTAAGAGGCTACATTTGAATTCATTACATGAACAATGCTGTTCAAATAGATTTTATTCCTAATGTAGGGATTACTTACTTGTTTGTTGCATACATGATCATCATAGGTCTTTGAAAGAAGTCGACCTTCACGTGAGAGTCTTGTGTGAACCTCAGCTGCTGCCTGTGTGCTCTGATGACAGTCAGACCAGACAGTGTCTCGCTGAAGTGGGCAAATACAGGTGAGCGATTTTTGGATGCAATTCGCTTCAGCTGACATGATGTCTTGATATAATATTGCTTGAAAAAACAATTTAGAAATCTCAAAAAATAAGAAAATTGCTAAGAATGTTTAGCAAATATTTGATGGACCTATCTTAACCTTAAAATAAATTTTATGAATTAACCAGAATAAACATCAATACTAATACTTAGTTAGACCAAGCCTTATTTTTTAAAATTTAGAAATTGAAACTCTTTACGAGAAAAAATGAATTATATATATATAAGTTAATGTATCTTTACCTGCACAATAATAAAAAGGAAGACAGCAACAAATAATACACCAAGAAATCCTGGAAAAACGTAGCTAATAATACCAAGAATTCCCAAAGCAAACATCACATGCTCGAGAAATATCTCCAAATTTATAAAAATTGCACTGTCTAGAATATCCAAATCTTGACTAAACCTGTTCAAAATTCTACCCATGGGAGTTGTATCAAAAAAACTCATGGGTGCTCTTAGAACTGAATTTATAAGTTTTGCATGTATCCATCGACAGGTGGTCACATGACGGAACTGGAACAGCCCTGAATATATCAAAACGCATAAAGCTGTGGACAATAGTAAAACACCATATTAGAATATGTTATTTCGGATCATTGAACGACCAATACTTTAAAATCTTTAAAGAATTTTTACATATTTTCCCACATTTAAGATATTTAAAAAGTATTAGATTGCTATAAAAGCATTATCAAAATAAAACTGAAAAAAAAATCTGGCATGTTATGTTCAGAAATCTGTGTAGTTTTAATTGCAAACTCACTCTGAATAGAGCCCCAAATTAGATAATACAAAATATAATGTCTATTTAAGTCATTTCTTTCCAGGCTTTGATCTGGTAACTCTGTATTGTTGAATAAATGATTATCCCCTATCCACATTGTCAAAGTTATGTATGCTGCATTATAGGCAACATGGAAACCACATATTAAAACAGCTGTCAGTAAAACATATGGTACGCCATAACCTTTGATGATATCTAAATAAACTTCCCATTTGACCTGAAGATAGAAAATTGTAATTAGAATAGTTTTTGTAAATGATAGAGCAGTAACGAAAGTTATTATAGATGCATGGAGTGATAAATCAATGATCTATACTTTTCCGGTTTGAGTTTCTTCCAATGTAATGAGTTTGCTCCTATTTATGGACACATCTTTCTTTTCTTTTAGCGTCACATCAAAATTACTGTAGATTTGTTAAAAAATATATACTCATCTATATGCAATTTACAATAAATAAAAAATACAATTCAAATTAAATGAAAGTTAAAGTTTTAAAAATTTTCATCTTATTTTTAAAAAGTTTTTATGTGAGTTTAGAAAAATTAAAATTGCTTTAACTTTTCTAAAATTAAACGATAAAATTTCACTTGCTTTTGAATGATTCTTTGCATTCTGTTCTTCGTGTTAGTAGTATTTTCAAACATATTTTCTGTTTAAAATTTTTTTAAAGGTTAGAAACACTTTTAATTATTTATATCTCGAAATTGAAGGATTAATATATATAACGTCAACAGTTGTTTACGTAGCCTACACATTTTTAAAAAATAGACAAATACATTATGTAAATCATATAAAATCATTTAATTTTACTTTTCTTTCATATATCATACACCTTAAACATTAAATTCTTTTTCACTGCATTAAAAAAAAATATAGTAATTTAAATAAAAGTTAAATAACAACTAAAGTAAAGGTTCAATTACTATGACAAGTTTACCAGATTTATCCCAATCAGATTCATTATCAGTGCTCGTACTATCAGATATCAAGTGTATTATTTTTTTGAAGCATTTGTTCCCAAGATGTAAAATTTCAGGGCCCCCAGAATCTACAATTTTACCATCATGCATAATAACAACCAAGTCCACGTCTGACAATAAATGAATTCCATGTGTGACTAGGACACGAGTCTGTTAAAATTTTAAAACAATGTTTATTTTAGTTACATGATATTTTTGTGTTAAAATGCAATTAATAATAAATTTTAAAAGTATTATTTTTTGCTTGACCATTAGGGGAAGGCATGTTGGATGGTAGTGTATGGCTGCAGACCTGATGTCTAGAGTTTGGGTCCCAGGTTCTTGACACTTACTGGAGCGATAACAATTCTGATGTATACCCAACCTATAATTTATGCTACTGGACATAGTGCAGACCATACTAAGTCAAAGAAACAGGTGAACTCTAGCTCACATTTCTTAAAGAATTGGCAGAAATTAAAGGTCTGTGTCCATGCATGCTATTTTTAAAATAATGTATATAGAAAAAATGATTTCTAATAAGTTTTAAAAACAGAAAATCAACCACTATCAACCTTCTTTTTTAAAAGTCCAGTGTTGCTGATAACATTTTGGAAGATGTGTTGTCCCACATGGCTGTCCACTGCACCCAATGGATCATCAAACAGGTAGATGTCAGCCTGGCTATAGACAGCTCTTGCTAGAGAAATTCTCTGCTTCTGTCCTCCTGACAAGTTCACTCCCTTGAAAGAAATTGATCGACGAAAAATCATTTTTTTTTAAAATGTGTAATTAAAACGTTTAATTTGTGATTTATTCCTATATTAAATTCTAAAATTATTATAATTTTCTTAAAAGTGTGTGTACTAATGTAATTACTTTTTGCGTATGTAGTAATAATAATAAGTATCTTTTAATGCTAATTATCTTCATGGAGTGTGGGATTCATGCAAATACTTACAATATCTTAAAATATGTGTGATTTAATAATTCTATTTACATTAAAAATGTGTAGGTATTAAAAATTTTAATTTTCTTAAAGATATAAGTACATAAATAATTCAAATTATCTTAAAGATGTTTTTTAATAATTCTATAGACCTTAAAGATTTACACATATTAATTAATCAAATGTTCTTACAGATGTTTGTATATTGATTAATCAAACAATCTAAATGATGTATGTGAATTAATAAATCAAATTATCCTATTGATGTATGTGTACTTTCTCTCCAATTTCTGTCAGGTCAGCAGCAGGTAAAATCTCCAGGTCTTGGTTCAAAGCACAGGCAGCAATGATAGTAGTGTAAAAAGTTGGATCAAATTCCTGCCCAAATGTAATGTTCTCTCTCACTGTTGTATTCTGAATCCAAGCTTGCTGTGGCACATAGGCTAGAGAGGACTAGAACAAAATAAATAAATTAAAATATATTTTATTTATGAAGGATGATAAAGGCATGCTTTAATCTTAAAAAAAAAACAAGTGTATTGGTATTTTAGCAAGTGATTTTCTAAAGAGTACATAAATTTAATAATTCAACTTAGAGACAAGGTACTCTTTTTAGTTGTAACTATGTTTTTGACGTAAATCAGCAAATTGCTATTATTACATTTCTTAGTTATTAGTAGTAAACAAAAAACGTTGTAATACGAGCTTTAATAAATGCCATCACACAACTATGACTGATGAGGTAGGGACGGGTTAAATTTTTTTAGATAAGTGTGTTAAAAAGGAGAATTAAGAAAGAGTGATGCGATTGGTTTATTTAGACTATATTATTTTTATTGTTTCTATAACCAGACCACTTATGTAACAATTCTTACATTGATATTTGAGCTGCCTGAAGTTCTGTTCATCTCTCCCAGTAGAGCTAGCAACAGAGATGATTTCCCAGCACCGACTGACCCCACCACAGCCACCAGCTTGCCAGGCTCAATCTTTAAATTGATGCTTGAAATTGTAAAAAAAAAATTACATTATACCGAATAATTTTTCACAAAATCTTAATTCAGTTCGATTGTAGTTTTCATTACAAACTTATATTTTATAACATTTGTGACTGCATTTGTTCAGTTTTTCATATCATTAATAAAAAAAAATGTTATACACATTATTCACACAGGCAAATATTTGTAAATTTTTTTTTGAAATCTTATCTATAAGCCATTAGCATACTTTCTAAGGACATTATTTCCTGACTTTTCCCATGAAAATGAAGCATCGTTTATCCTTATGGCGAAATCTGTAAAACGTTATTAAGTTTAATTAATTAATACATTAATGAATAAGTAGATAAAAGATATTATTTCAACACTAGAAGTTGTTTATAAAACTGATTTTACCATCTAAGGTGTTGTATTCACTTGAGTCAGAATCTGCAGCCTGGAGAAATTTGTTAATTCGAACAATAGAACCAGCCATCTAGACACACAGATTAAAAGCAATTGAAGTTTTGAAAATTAAAATAATCAAAATAACACTATTTGAAATATGTTAGCTTAAACTTCAATAAAAGTAGCAATAAAATTAATAGTCCACGTTTTTTTTTTACTGTTCTCTCTACCACAAAAATATATTATTGGACCCGATCTCTAGCAATCTGTTTTTAAATTAAATATTTCTCATTATTAATGATCAGATATTCCACACAAAGCCTGAATAATTTTACCAATCAGATACATCCCACCATACTGAATAACAAATTTACTAATACTGTTTTAATATCACTAAAAAATGATAATATGTACATACTTTGACAGCATATTTTATATGGAGAGAACAGTTTGTGATGACTTTCTTTATCAAATTTATATAATTGATTGCAACAAAAGCTATTCTTGCGCTGACTAAATGATGCTCGTTAAAAGTGACGTAGGTCACCAGCATCAAAAACGTAATCTATAAAAAAAATTAAAATATTTATTAATTCGGATATATCATTTCTAGTTAAATAACTAGGATTTAATTTAAATCATTGTCTAATTTTATAAATTAAAAAAAGAAAAACAAATGTATTTTTTCTCAAATTTACTCTGTAAAAAAAACTTGGCTCTTGGTCCTAATTTTCATAATGTCTAAAAAAATTTTTACGCAAGAATTAAAATGGACATCATTTATTTTATTTTTATAAATTACCCAGAATGTTGCTCCTGTGTAGGCAAAAGTGTCAATCCAGTCACACATTGAGTGTTTCTGTAAAACCTTCAGTTCTTTTTCTCTAATGCTCATTATTTTAGAGATAAACATGGGTTCCCAACCATATAGCTTTATAACCTGACAATAAAACAATCATTGCAATATATGAAATAATATTTTTGTTACATGAAAAATATAGTAAGTCACACTGATATTTTTATTGACAGTTATATATATATATATATATATATATATATATATATATATATATATATATATATATATATATATATATATATATATATATGAATCATTCACCTCATAACTAACTTCACGGGTAAGAATGTACACGCGAAAATATTTACCTTAATGCCTTGCAGTATTTCACTCATTGTGTTTAGTCTTACATCTTTTACTCCCATCATCTCTTCGTGATAATTTCTCATTTTTTGTGTTATAACGAGATTGATTATCAACATCAAACAAATTAAACCTAGTCCTAAAACAAAGGAATTATGCATTTAATAAATAGTGTAGTGTGTAGTTTGTATATGGGAGCTAACATGGTTTTTAAAATGTGCTTTTGATTTTCTTTTTTAAGCAAAACAAAGCCGATTTTGTAAAATGGTTGGGTTCTTTTTCTGATACAATAATTGTATGGAAATCTAATATGTTTACTACTATAATTACCTGAAAGCATTGCTAGTCCAATGACAGTATACAAGAAGAAACACCCAAAGAGAAAGAGCAAAATACTCATCCATATCCAGAATGCACCATTTATACACAGCTCAATGTGATTTGTGTCAACAGACATCAAGTTTGAGATTTCCCCCAAACCGAAGATTTTTCGAGACTCATTGGACAATCGTATCGACTGAAATGCAAATAAGAGTATCTAATTAAATGTCAAATAAAAGTAGGCACTACATGTTTAAAATTAATTAGGTTTTGTTTTTCACAGTGCCCCTAAACTAATTTCTCTTACACTTTTGTTTAACACTTACACTTTCGTTTCACTCTTTAAGGACCATAAATATTTTGCACAATTTAAACATATTCTACTTATACTTTTACATTTTGGGTAAAATGACTAATGGATTCGATAAATCTATATATATAATTCTCTTCTGGGAGCCGTTAGAAAACAAGCTGCAAGCGCCTCCTTGCAATCCCCTCTTTCTCACTATCACTACCACCCCCACCCCACCCCCACATTGTCTGGTGAGCTGTGCTCACGCTGTTTACATTTTACAATCATAGAGACGGGTTTGGTGACGGCTATTAGGGGCAGATAATTTAGTTTGAAACGATTTTAAACTTAGAGGAGGTAACTAAGAGGAGGTTGCTTTCACGTGGGGGGAGGGGGGTTTAGTGTTTTTAAGCAAATATTTTCAGTGGCAGCATTGGTACCGTCGAATTCACAAATTATAAATTACTGAAAAGTAGAAAAAAAACAACTAAATAGCGGCGTATGATACGCAGCGGGTCGGCTCGTTATAAATATAAGACAATGCATCAATGTATTGAATTTTTTTTTTCTAAATGCAGCATAAGGACAGTGTCCTGTAATGAAGACTACTAATGCGAGTTATGGCTTCTATCTATGTCGTTTTTTTTAAAATTCCAGCTATGATCAGACCAAGATGTGGCTTCTAGAACATGAGTAAATTCAGTCTAAAGAAGTAGTTTTTTTAAAGGCACAGTGTGGCTCTGTTATATTTACACTATACTTTAGAAACCATTTGAAAAGAAACGTAAGTATAAGACTTAAAAACGCAATCACAAAAGCTTGGCATAAGACACATTATTTTTCGTCTTGTATTCATTCTGTTCCTAAGCACACAGCACGGACATTTTCATTTTCTCAGTTCAGGTACTGGAGTCACTTAAATGCTTTCTATTGCAAATTATTTTTACAAATTTTGTATTAAAATTACTTTTATGTTCAAATAATTCAATTTTAAATTGAGTTATGAAACATTTATGTTCAAATAATTCAATTTTAAATTGAGTTATGAAACATTAATATATCCAGCATAGTGAACGTTTCCTATAGTGAAGATTATCAACAGTAACACGACGTATAGCGCCTTTCTTATTTTATAAATTTTATTTAGTTCATAATGTCTGTTCTGTTTTATTTTGTGGGTTTGTGGCAACTCTTGCAACTTTATTTTGACCCACTTCTAATGCAGACAAAGACGACATGTTTAATATTCGTTTTATGTAGTTTATTTTAGAAAAGGTGAAGTAGACAAAAACAAAACAAAAAAATAAGCAGATGGCACAAATGTATTAAAATACCTTTCGAAATATGGCGCCAATAGCAGCACTACGTACTCGAATGGCCAGTCTGTTACTTAGGTACTCGGATGATTGGCTAAAAACTGTGGTCAAGATCTTGGAGGCTAAAAGCAACATCATAAGGACATAACCATGCCAGTGTGGCTCTGTTGTATTTACACTGTAGTCTATCAACCAACTGAAAAGAAAAGTAGTCATGAGACTAAGAAATAGCAATCAGAAAAAAATATATAAAAAATCCAACATAAAATGGAATTTTATATAAAGTCTAAATCTTGGCTAAAGTGTTAATTTATCTTTTGTTTTATTTTTACCGTCAGCAATGATACTTTACGGTGTTTTTTAACTATTCATCTGCACGATTTCCCCCTAAACACAGAAGCTAAGAACCACTATTTTTAAAATCTGATTAGCAACACCTAGGGTAACTGTTCAACCCTTGCCCAAATCCGCATCCAGCTTTTATATAGTTCTAAACCAAACTGTTTTGCTTAGTAACACATTTACCCCCCTCCCTCATATAAATTCTTTAAAAAACATATAAAGCCTATAGACATTACTGTGGCCTTTTTATATAAAAATCAGTGATCATTTTTAGACTAATATTTATAAACAAGACATAATTTCTATTTCATTGGCCGATAGAATTTAACACCGTGCGGCTGTTAATCGAAGTCTAGGACAGTGCTCTACAGCTTGAATTTGTTTAGTACGGCATATGAAGTCTACTTCCTCTGGATACATAGGGCAATTTGCTAGAAAATATTAATTATTTTTTACACCTACACAAAAAAATTAGAGATAAACGAAATTTTGAAAAATTATTATTTTATAAATTGATTTCCTTCAACTCACCCTAGGATGATTGGGGAAAATAAATTCATAGCCACATAAACCAACATCCCAATATTGCAATATAAAAAGTCCCATCTGAAGGTTAAAAACAGAGCCATGAAGAACGATCTTTGTTTTGGCTTATTTGTTTCATTGCTAGCATAGCTCTTGACGGCGTCGTAGGATCGTCTCTCTGTGTCTTCACAGTTGTTGGCGTCCAAAAGTTGTGTTTCTTGTTCATCGCAGCTTGGCTTAGCTCTTATGCACTCCCAGGGTCTCAGACGCAACCATTTCCTTCTTGTTGAACTGTCAATAAATATAATTATTTTTTTAAGTGATTTTTAATTTGTTTTTAATTTCGTAGTGGGTTTGGGTCGTACAAAATTATTAGATTGTTGTAGGATATGCATAAAAACATCTACAAAATTGTGTCTTAAAATATGACGTAGAATGCGATCCCATTCTATCTAATAAAAGCACCTCTCACGAATCAAACAGCGATGGATTAAGTTTATTCAGTTCCTCAAAGTATCAAAAAATTGAGATGACTAATATTGTTGAGTTATACATTTTAAACCGACTAGGTAGTCCAGTCGTTCAAATTTGGTTGTAATATGTTGAAAATTTTGAAAGAGCAGCTCTTTGTGAAATCGAAAAAATAAAATATTATTTTAAAATATTACGTATCATGATGAAATTTATAATTAATGTTAAGGTACACAAAAAATTGAATATGTATTATATATACAATAGTTTCCACGAATGTGCACAATTAGCAGTTTTATTTTTAGCGTTCCTTTTTCTGGATATGTCAGCCATATAAGCCCGCATTACTTTTACGCAACTAGATGTGATATTGTCAGATAATGTGGGTTTTTGTGTGAAATGCCTAATGGCTTTCAACTATTCATTAGAATGTCAATAAAACGACACGTGTTGCGTGGTGTAAGATAAAATGTTAACTAAGATAATATCAAAGTACCTACCTGTGGGCTGTAATTATGGAATTTTTAATGAGCGCATCTGTTACTTTTGCTGATGTGTCGTTTGGAGTCAAATGGTATGCGTCATCGTCTTGTATTGGACGCTTGTATCCCAGACGCATCAGGCTTGAAATACAGACAGAAATAGTTGGTTTTAGGTGTTGAACTGACGTGCGTGGGTGGGGAGAGAATGTTGGTTAACAAATGTTTATATTGCCCTACCGCAAGGTCGTGAATGAATTGATGTTTGAATTCTATGTCGGGCTAAATGTCAGAAATCTATGTACGGCTAAATGTCAGACATCTATGTCCGGCTAAATGTCAAACATCTATGTCCGGCTAAATGTCAGACATCTATGTCCGGCTAAATGTCAGACTTCTATGTCCGGCTAAATGTCAGACATCTATGTCCGGCTAAATGTCAGACTTCTATGTCCGGCTAAATGGCAGACATCTATGTCCGGCTAAATGGCAGACATCTATGTCCGGCTAAATGTCTGGCAACAACTTACGGTTCCAGCCATGTGAAGGAGATCCAGGAGTAGTATATTAGGTCACTTTTGATTATTATTTTTGGCGGAGGTGGGGAGGGTGAGGAACAATGACATATAGTAAAATACTCGGGAGCAGGATGCGCGGGTGGCGCAAAGACATATAGCAAAATACTACGCCAGCTGCCGCAGCCTGGCGCATCGGGAGGGTAAGGGTGGGTGAGCAGGATGTGGGGGTGGCGCAAAGACATATAGTAAAATACTACGCCAACTGGGGTTGGCGGAGGTGGTGGGGAAGTAGGTCACCTTTTGGTGACCTTGTGACGTAATTAGTAACATTATGACGTAATTAGTGACTTTGTGATGTAATCATTGACCTAGTTACGTAATTTTAATGCGTTTTTTAATGAGTTTTAATGAGTTTTTAAATTTTTAATCAATTTTTATTGACTAGTTACGTAATTTGATTATTTGTTTACTTTTTAATTAATTTTTATTGACCTAGTTACGTAATTGGATTTTAATGAGTTTGAATTTAATGTTGTAGTTTTAATTAATTTTTATTAACGAGTTACGTAATTTGATTATTTGTTTGATTTTAAATTGTTTACTTTGTTTGTTTACTTGTTGATTATTTGTTTACTTTTTAATTATTTTTATTGACGAGTTACGTAATTTGATTATTTGTTTACTTTTTAATTATTTTTATTTTGTTTATTTTTAATTTAATTTTATTTTATAATTAGTTAAATTATTATTAACTAGTTACGTAATTTGATTTTAATTACTTTTGTTTATTTATTTATTTGATATATTTCTTTTCTTTGTTGTTTAATGTTGTTTATTTATTTGAATGTATGTATGTTTTAAATAAAAGACTAACACTAGCCGTGTACTTTGTGAATAACATCCATTAAAGATAACGATCAGCCACAGCTGTTACGTATCGACCCGCCCGCGAAGTTTTCTCACCGCTGCCCGTTTTAATGGGAATGTATTGATCGCACCCACGGGCCATCACACCTAATTAATTTGGTCACGCCTCGTGGGTTTATGTGTTGTTCACGGAAGCGAACACAGCAGGGGGTATGATAATTAATTGAAAGAGCTAAGTGTCTCTCCGTGAAGCCAGCGTTAAGTGTGGGAACACCTGTTACCACGTTAATCGATTTTTCCCCGCTCGGTTACTAGAGTGGGAAGCCATCACGTAACAGCTGGTGCTGTAATTACCCTGAGTAAGGACATTGGTTGTAACTATTCGCTTATAGCGAGGGTCAGCGAAAACAAAATATATTTAAGGGTTGGAATTTTCTTTCAACCACCGTTAAGTCAGGTTTGAGACGAAACAAAGTCTCGGTAGGTTCGTGTTTTTTTAATTGGCGACAGGGCGACTTGGTGCGTTGGTACGTGAGGTATGCGGGTAGACATGTTTTTTTTTTTTTTTTTTTTTTTTTTTTACAAGTCTGGAAAAGTAATTACGTTTTTGTATGACCGTTCCGATTTTCTTTTGATCTGACCACCATTTGACCACACTGAGTCAGATAAATTTAACAAATGTTCAATACATAGTCGCTTATAATAATATGGGTGAGGGGTGTAAGCAGGCGGGTGGTGGTAAGGTGGTAGTGGTAAGGTGGTGGTAAGGTGGTGGTAAGGTGGTGGTGGTAAGGTGGTGGTAAGGTGGTGGTAAGGTGGTGGTAAGGTGGTGGTGGTAAGGTGGTGGTAAGGTGGTGGTAAGGTGGTGGTAAGGTGGTGGTAAGGTGGTGGTGGTGGTGGTGGTGGTGGTGGTGGTAAGGTGGTGGTAAGGTGGTGCTAAATTTGTTTGGAGTAAAGGATATATAGTAAAAGATTCCACCACCTAAGTGAGGTGGATTTTAATTTTAATTTTTTTTTTTTTTTTATTTTATTTTTTTCATCATCTGTTAACTTTAAGGTTCTATAACTCTATATATTTTAATACGTTTTTTGATTCAAATGAGTTTACTCCCCCTAACGTAAGTACATGTAAAGAGGGATTTCCTATAGATCTGTAATGAATTAGGCCTTTTTGACTATGACTTGTTGCCCAGGTGTTGACATGATACACTTTTTTGAGATACATGTACACACACACACACACACACACATACACACGTACACACACACACACACACACACACACACACACACATACGCGCGCGCGCGAAATTCATACTAGGTCGATAAAGGCGGAGAGAACTTATAGGTATACATTATCATGGTGACAACAAAAGCGATCCTTATTTTATTTACATGAAAGCGTGTTTTCCAAAAAGTGTCGCCATGCCGTTGTCATTTTCGCAGCGGGGTTTATTTTAAGTGCACCCAGTGCACAGTTGTTTACATTTTAAAAGAAGTATCACGTGTCTTCCCCATAGGTCTTCCCTAATAGAGAAACGAGAGGAAAGACAACTGTTCTAAAATTAGAACAGCCTTGTCTACAGACACGAGTATCGTCCCTTGTGAAAAAAATTCGCGTCAGAATCCTTAACTAAACAGTCAATTTCTTTAACAAGTTAAAAAATAATTTAGGAAGACAAGGGTTAACAACATTAGACGCTACCGTTTTTGTTTCCTGTGACGACAAGGCACAATACACTTTTTTTATTTTATGTCTCAAGTAGAGGGGTGGGAAATTTTTTCTTTGTAAGTGTGTTGTAAACAATGGGTAGAGGAAGCGATTACTAGGTAAGAGGGGAGAGAATGTGACGTCAATCGCGATATTTGAAAACATGGCGATGTTTAATCTCAACCAAAAAAGGCAATGAACCTAGAAGGAAGACGAATATATATATATCTTAGTCTTGCAGCAGATTGCCTTCCCATGTTCGCTTTAGTATTACAGTTTTCATCAAACTTCTTTTTGACTTGAACTTCTTTAATTTTTAAGAAAGTTTACTTATACATAATACATTACGTCTAATGACAATTTTTTATTTTTACCACTCAATGTATTTTGTTTTTCTATATCTTACATTGTCATCTTAATTTTTGATCACCTTAGTAAAAATTTGCTTAAGATTATAAACTTCAAGTTTTAAAAAACAACAACGTTGTAGTGCGTCGTGTCAAATGACACACCGTTTAAAATGTCTACATTTAAAGTTCACCAAAATAATGACGTAAAAACTAAATATGATATGACGTTAGCATACATATCATTCAATCTAATCATTCTAAAGTACAAATCAATAATTTTTATTGATTAAGGGGCTGGGTGAGTTATTTTTATCACTATTCGCCCTTCCCCTTCCCTTTGTCCGCAACCCCTTTCCCCTTCTCCCATCCCTAACCTCAATACCAACCGTACCACTACCCATTCTATACCATTAAAGAGACAAAGGATGTATGACAATCCTACATTTATCTACACTCAACTAATATCACAACTCCTAGACACTACTTCAACAGACTGCGATATGTAACTTGTAGACACCACTCCGTAATGAATACCACAGGCGCCCTACCTACATCGACAACTTTGTCCGCCGCCCTCACCCCATCCCTAAACAACCGATAGATAAACACATCGTACCACTACCCACACTATTCCCTTGGACAGACAAAGGACAAAGTAACAGACAAACATTTATCACCCTTCGTTTACTGTCACAAGTGACAACGTTCCCATCCAACGCCAAAACATCCATGGCCGAATTTCGAAACCAGCCTCGTTGAAAACTCCCCTGACCCTAGTTTAACTTTGCCTCACCATTTCCAAAAAACAGTAATGTACCAAACATCCATGTACCAATTTTGTTGAAAACAAAGACCGTCCCACTCTAGTGTAAACTCTACCCCGACCAACTCCGAAACAGGGATGGGCCACGTTTGAAATCTGCCTCGGTGAAAACAAAACCATCCCACAGTAGTATAGACTCGGCCCCTATCACTTCCAAAACATGCATGTAGTAACTTTGAAACCACCCTCGGTGAAAATTTCACCGACCCTAGTATGAACACAGCCCCTGTCCATTCCTAAACATACATGTACCAACTCTGAAACTCCCCCGACCCTAGTATGAACTCGGCTACCAACAATTCCTAAACATGCATGTCCCAATTTTGTAACCTGCCTCGGTGAAAACTTCACCGACTCTAGTATGAGCTCTACACCTACCGATTCCAAAACATACATGTTCCGAGTTCAAAACCAACCTTCACCGACACTAGTATGAACTCGGCTACCAACAATTCCTAAACATGCATATACCAACTTTGTAACCTGCCTCAGTGTTAACAAACCTCCCCGACCCTAGTATGAACTCGACTGCCAACAATTCCTAAACATACATCTCCCAACTTTGTAACCTGCCTCGGTGAAAACTTCACCGACCCTAGTATGAACTCGACTGCCAACAATTCCTAAACATACATCTCCCAACTTTGTAACCTGCCTCGGTGAAAACTTCACCGACCCTAGTATGGACTCTACACCTACCGATTCCAAAACATGCATGTTCCGAGTTCGAAAGCACTCTCGGTGAAAACTTCATCGACCCTAATATGAACACGGCCCCTAACAATGCCAAGGACGCATGTACGAACTTTGAAACCACCCTCGGTGTAACCAAAACACATCCGTCCCTAGTGTAAACTCTACCGCATCCAACTCCTAAACATGCATGGTCCGAGTTCAAAACCCAACCTTCACCGACACTAGTATGAACTCGGCTACCAACAATTCTAAAACATGCATGTATCAACATCACTCTGTGTTAACAAAACTCCCCCGACCCTATTATAGACTGGACCCCTAACAATTCTAAAACATACATGGACTAGCCTCGAACCCTGGCTCGGTGAAAACGTCACCGACTCGTGTATAAAATCTGTCCCAACCAACTCCAAACCTTCCCTGCGCACCCGGATAAAAATAACTCACCCAGCCCCTTAATCAATAAAAATTATTGATTTGTACTTTAGAATGATTAGATTGAATGATATGTATGCTAACGTCATATCATATTTAGTTTTTACGTCATTATTTTGGTGAACTTTAAATGTAGACATTTTAAACGGTGTGTCATTTGACACGACGCACTACAACGTTGTTGTTTTTTAAAACTTGAAGTTTATAATCTTAAGCAAATTTTTACTAAGGTGATCAAAAATTAAGATGACAATGTAAGATATAGAAAAACAAAATACATTGAGTGGTAAAAATAAAAAATTGTCATTAGACGTAATGTATTATGTATAAGTAAACTTTCTTAAAAATTAAAGAAGTTCAAGTCAAAAAGAAGTTTGATGAAAACTGTAATACTAAAGCGAACATGGGAAGGCAATCTGCTGCAAGACTAAGATATATATATATTCGTCTTCCTTCTAGGTTCATTGCCTTTTTTGGTTGAGATTAAACATCGCCATGTTTTCAAATATCGCGATTGACGTCACATTCTCTCCCCTCTTACCTAGTAATCGCTTCCTCTACCCCTTGTTTACAACACACTTACAAAGAAAAAATTTCCCACCCCTCTACTTGAGACATAAAATAAAAAAAGTGTATTGTGCCTTGTCGTCACAGGAAACAAAAACGGTAGCGTCTAATGTTGTTAACCCTTGTCTTCCTAAATTATTTTTTAACTTGTTAAAGAAATTGACTGTTTAGTTAAGGATTCTGACGCGAATTTTTTTCACAAGGGACGATACTCGTGTCTGTAGACAAGGCTGTTCTAATTTTAGAACAGTTGTCTTTCCTCTCGTTTCTCTATTAGGGAAGACCTATGGGGAAGACACGTGATACTTCTTTTAAAATGTAAACAACTGTGCACTGGGTGCACTTAAAATAAACCCCGCTGCGAAAATGACAACGGCATGGCGACACTTTTTGGAAAACACGCTTTCATGTAAATAAAATAAGGATCGCTTTTGTTGTCACCATGATAATGTATACCTATAAGTTCTCTCCGCCTTTATCGACCTAGTATGAATTTCGCGCGCGCGCGTATGTGTGTGTGTGTGTGTGTGTGTGTGTGTGTGTACGTGTGTATGTGTGTGTGTGTGTGTGTGTGTACATGTATCTCAAAAAAGTGTATCATGTCAACACCTGGGCAACAAGTCATAGTCAAAAAGGCCTAATTCATTACAGATCTATAGGAAATCCCTCTTTACATGTACTTACGTTAGGGGGAGTAAACTCATTTGAATCAAAAAACGTATTAAAATATATAGAGTTATAGAACCTTAAAGTTAACAGATGATGAAAAAAATAAAATAAAAAAAAAAAAAAAATTAAAATTAAAATCCACCTCACTTAGGTGGTGGAATCTTTTACTATATATCCTTTACTCCAAACAAATTTAGCACCACCTTACCACCACCTTACCACCACCACCACCACCACCACCACCACCACCTTACCACCACCTTACCACCACCTTACCACCACCTTACCACCACCTTACCACCACCACCTTACCACCACCTTACCACCACCTTACCACCACCTTACCACCACCACCTTACCACCACCTTACCACCACCTTACCACTACCACCTTACCACCACCCGCCTGCTTACACCCCTCACCCATATTATTATAAGCGACTATGTATTGAACATTTGTTAAATTTATCTGACTCAGTGTGGTCAAATGGTGGTCAGATCAAAAGAAAATCGGAACGGTCATACAAAAACGTAATTACTTTTCCAGACTTGTAAAAAAAAAAAAAAAAAAAAAAAAAAAACATGTCTACCCGCATACCTCACGTACCAACGCACCAAGTCGCCCTGTCGCCAATTAAAAAAACACGAACCTACCGAGACTTTGTTTCGTCTCAAACCTGACTTAACGGTGGTTGAAAGAAAATTCCAACCCTTAAATATATTTTGTTTTCGCTGACCCTCGCTATAAGCGAATAGTTACAACCAATGTCCTTACTCAGGGTAATTACAGCACCAGCTGTTACGTGATGGCTTCCCACTCTAGTAACCGAGCGGGGAAAAATCGATTAACGTGGTAACAGGTGTTCCCACACTTAACGCTGGCTTCACGGAGAGACACTTAGCTCTTTCAATTAATTATCATACCCCCTGCTGTGTTCGCTTCCGTGAACAACACATAAACCCACGAGGCGTGACCAAATTAATTAGGTGTGATGGCCCGTGGGTGCGATCAATACATTCCCATTAAAACGGGCAGCGGTGAGAAAACTTCGCGGGCGGGTCGATACGTAACAGCTGTGGCTGATCGTTATCTTTAATGGATGTTATTCACAAAGTACACGGCTAGTGTTAGTCTTTTATTTAAAACATACATACATTCAAATAAATAAACAACATTAAACAACAAAGAAAAGAAATATATCAAATAAATAAATAAACAAAAGTAATTAAAATCAAATTACGTAACTAGTTAATAATAATTTAACTAATTATAAAATAAAATTAAATTAAAAATAAACAAAATAAAAATAATTAAAAAGTAAACAAATAATCAAATTACGTAACTCGTCAATAAAAATAATTAAAAAGTAAACAAATAATCAACAAGTAAACAAACAAAGTAAACAATTTAAAATCAAACAAATAATCAAATTACGTAACTCGTTAATAAAAATTAATTAAAACTACAACATTAAATTCAAACTCATTAAAATCCAATTACGTAACTAGGTCAATAAAAATTAATTAAAAAGTAAACAAATAATCAAATTACGTAACTAGTCAATAAAAATTGATTAAAAATTTAAAAACTCATTAAAACTCATTAAAAAACGCATTAAAATTACGTAACTAGGTCAATGATTACATCACAAAGTCACTAATTACGTCATAATGTTACTAATTACGTCACAAGGTCACCAAAAGGTGACCTACTTCCCCACCACCTCCGCCAACCCCAGTTGGCGTAGTATTTTACTATATGTCTTTGCGCCACCCCCACATCCTGCTCACCCACCCTTACCCTCCCGATGCGCCAGGCTGCGGCAGCTGGCGTAGTATTTTGCTATATGTCTTTGCGCCACCCGCGCATCCTGCTCCCGAGTATTTTACTATATGTCATTGTTCCTCACCCTCCCCACCTCCGCCAAAAATAATAATCAAAAGTGACCTAATATACTACTTCCAGGATAAAACAGCAGCCGATGTCTCAGGGTTATGTGACTGAGGAGGACAGGAATAAATCAGATTTTAAATGACACAACCTGGTGATGTTTTTTTTATAATCATGGGTACATCTTTTAAACAGAGAACCCTAGCTGGTATAGAGCTAGAGTTATTATTGAAATGCGTTCCGTGGATGCCTTTTTCTAGTAGCCAATTAAGCTTGTACATAATTATATCATTACTTGCTGAAAACAAATTGTTAGAAGGTTACAATTATTTTTTTTAAATATACTGAATTGTTCAATATTTACAGACCTGTGATTGAGCTGTCTTTAACTAATTTAATCAAGGCATCATAATAACATGGGACCGACATTGCCTTTGTCACCCTGACTTTACCTAGTGCACCAAACTGACGTAGTACTGACCTTGTCTTTGACCCCATGGTACTCAGCAAAACACGTGACCACAAACAGCACTGTTGTCGCCACGTAACGCAGTACAACCACGCTAAAGTTGAATGTTTCATTTGCATATTCCTAGACATGTTACAAATGAGGATCAAGATTTAAATATTAAACAAATAAATACAGTGAGTTACTACTGAACTGAATTTGCTATGGAAGCTACAATCATGGACGAAATAAATAAGAGACTAGTAGGCAACAAGGCCTAACGTTTTACTTTTATTTTAATTAATTTTATTTTAATTTACGCTACGTCTAATCACAGCAAAAATAAACTCAAACACATCCCTCACTTCAGCGAGTAAATGTCCGTACTTTTATCATTTCTGAAATAGCTTACCCATACATTCATAGACGAAAGGACCCATTCTGTCGCATGAACGAACTGTCTATTTCGCGCCCAGACCCCCCTCCCCCTACCTATTTACATAGCCATCCACGGTGTTGCTAAAGCTCACCCCCTCCTTTAGAAAGTTCTTAGGCCAGTCACTGTACCATAAGAGTTTTATTTATGATGTCATACTATTTTGATGCATAAAATAGTAATGTTAAGAAGCAGTTTTTATTTCTAGTTTTATTTTTAAACTGTAAAACAATTTGAATACATGAATGAATAAAACACAACTCACTCCAGTCATTCCCTTTTCAAAGATTTTCACAAGCAAGCAGAACGATGCCAGGGACCAGTAGACAAACATAGGGAAAGATCTGACAACGTTACGTGATTTCTCTAGCACAATGGTGCCTATGTAGAACATCTGAAAAAAGATTCAGCCGTTTAGTCACTAGCGTCTTCATATACACATGGGTCACGTTAAGTGTGATTGGCAATATTGCACAAAGCGACTGACGCTGCCAAGCTAGACTCTCGAACTGTGGTCTTTAATTTCTTTTCCTTGGGATGTATCTAAGAGCAGCTACTGTGACAAAAAAGTCTCTTTACACAAGTAAAAAAAAAACGAAATATCATAACTGGTACAACTCATAGTTTAAACCTCCATGTGTGATTTGTTGGTATAGAACTAAACCTTAGGTTGTAATGGCCTCAACCGCTCCTGTTCTAGTCATTCGTTTATAACATCCAAAAGCAAAATTTAAGATTTTATTCCTCGCCCCTTCCATCCCTCTATTCTGCATCGTCAAGAAATTTGACATTTGACTAGCCTCGCCTCTTAAGCATCTTGACCAGATGACCAGTAGTTAGAGTCAACTTACCAACATGAACATTCGAACCAGTATCACAAGAAGTTGTTCAGACACTGTTTCCTCCGTCACTAGAGCAACAGCCCACGTGATATCAGCTGCCCCAAGACACGAAGATAAGATCTAAATAAATATTCAATTTGTTACAATAATTTTGGTTAAGCTTTTCAGCAGAATATTGATGTGGCTCCAATTGTCGATTATATTTTTAGAAAAACAATATAAAATACTTATTTAATAGAATAAACTTTAGTCTTCTTTTTAATGATTTTGACTCAGCAATATATGTGTACCAATTTAGAATCCCCTAGTCTAAGTTGAGTTTTATGATGAGAAAACGTACGAGTTTAGCAATAAAAATCCAGCAGACCGGATGTTTGTCACGTGACGAGGTCAGCAAGTGATACCAGTAGCACGGGGTCGTAAGTAAAAACCAGAAGGCCGGCGCCAGCTCTAGAACTGTGTTCTGGAAACATTCTGAGAGCTCGGGCCATGTGTTGTTTGACCAGGCTAACGAAGAGTCCTTGAGGAATGGGAAAGTTTACATTTTATATGATTTCTAATTAGAATAGAAAAGTTTAGGTTTGACATATTTATTAATTAGAATAGGAAAATTTACATTTCACATGTGTATAAATCAGAATAGGAAAGTTTACATTTCACATGTGTATAAATCAGAATAGGAAAGTTTACATTTCACATGTGTATAAATCAGAATAGGAAAGTTTACATTTCATATGTGTATAAATCAGAACAGGAAAGTTTACATTTCATATGTGTATAAATCAGAATAGGAAAGTTTACATTTCACATGCTTACTAATCAGAATAGGAAATTTACATTTCACGTGCTTACAAATCATAATAGAAAAGTTTACATTTCACATGTTTACTAATCAGAATAGGAAAGTTTACATTTCACATACATACAAATCATAATAGAAAAGTTTACATTTCTCACGGGTACAAATCAAAATCCGGAGGTTTAAATTTCACACGTTTACAAATCGAAATTTGGGAATTTACATTTTACTTGTTTACAATTCAAAATAGGAAAGTTTAAAGTTTACAATTTTACAGATTAAAAAGGAAAGTGTATTTTTAACACCTTTATCAAAATAGAAAGATTTACATTTCATATTTTTGCAAATAAACATTGGAAACTTAACACATATTGATAATTTTCATTTCACCTTTTTACAAAAACATATTATTACATAGACCTGTATTTTTATAATAATTAACTTTAATTGTTATTGTGCTCTTGATCTTCGGTACTTAAACTTGACTCCAGTTTAACCTAAATGTTTGACTGAATTCTTCTGGGCTACCTAGACTACAACTACTAGAATGAGCTATGGCAGTTTTCAAACATGCGTTTACTTTGTACTTTAATATAATAAAACAGCTAATTAAATGCTTTTATCATATAATCTTATGCCTTTGATGCACCCTACAGAATGCTCTGTCAGCTTTTATCGGTCAGTCTCTGGTAACTTTCTTTGCAATTCCCTAAGATTTTTCGATTTGTGTAAGTTGTTTTTCTGCTATGCACCCCTATATCTCTTGTACTATCGTGTAAATTAAGCGCGTTGTTTTGCGTCAAGTACTTTTTGTAAAGATAGAGAGGTGAACAATTAAAAACAATTATTAAAAATTATTAAAAAAACACTTACCAAAAGCTGATATTGCGTACACACTTTAACCATTTCTGCTGGGTTTGTTTTATTCATTTTTTTAAAAGCACATACTTTGTTTTATTTAATCGAAAAAAAGTATATATTATATGAAGAACCGTGGACTTTGAATTATTACCAGAGTATGACGATCATGTGGTGGGTTTCACAATAAAAATATTAAGGCGTGTACAATTAAACAATGAAAAACAACAACCGATCCTAGTATCTAATTGTACGGTAGTTCGTGAGGTAGAGAGGTTGTGATGTCAATAAAAGAACCAGGTGGGGCGTTCATGAAGAGGTTCATTGTGAAGAATTTTTTATTGATATGCATCTATTCTGGCGAGGCAGGTTGTGGTTGTCTGTTCATTAAGTGGGTTTTCTATTCAGTATCTCATTTGAGAAAGCGTGGGAGTAGCGACTATTCCGATATATATATATATATATATATATATATATATATATATATATATATATATATATATATATATATATATATATATATATATATATATATATATATATATATTTATATATATATATATATATATATATATATATATATATATATATATATATATATATATATATTTATATATATATATAGCAGAGTTGTAGGCTGCCCGTGGGGCACTTCCCGGAGCCGAAGGCACTTCAAATTTGGCAGGCTTCTGTCTTGGAACTATAGAACACGGGGGCCGGTGCCGGTTGTCCGACAAGTTTAAAAAGAGGGGGTCAAAACTGACCTCGACTGACCGCCGCCTCATATGAGCTATATATCGAAAAAAAAATTCCCACATAGGAACCTCTTCATAACTCCTGAGGTCGTAAACCAACCCTAGGGGTGGCTAAAAACACTATGATATATTTGGGAAAATTCCAGAAGGGCTTTAGAACTGACCGGTACGAATTTTCCATATATAAACATTGTTAATTTGGTGAAAAAAACTGACTATTTTCAAAAAAATGTTTAGGAAATTTGGCTCTGTACATCTGGCTTATTTTTTGCATAGAGCTGAGTAAATGAATCGGCCTTATAAATAAACTATCCGTCAGCCTTTGCTAAAAATTGACCACACGTGAAATTCTTTTTATATGAGCTATATATCGAAAAAATTCCCACGTAGAAACCCTTTGAAAACTCTTGGAGATGTACATCGGCCCCAGGAGGTCAGGAAAAAAATAGTGTTACCCCCGGGAAAATTCCGGAGCAATGTTTTAACTGACAAGAAGCCATTTTTCCTTATATAAACATACGACTGTTTTTGTAAAAAAAAAATACAAAAATCTGGACGTACAAACCCAATCATAACTCATGAGGTCATAGAAATACCCTCGGGGATCACTATACAGTAGGCGTTATCTTCGGGAAAATTCCGGAAAGGCTTTAGAACTGACCGACCCGAATTCCCTATATAAACATTATTAATTTGGTGAAAACCGATGACTATTTTCAAAACAATGTTTTGGAACTTTGGCTCTGTATATCTGACTCATTTTCTTGCATAGAGCTGAGTAAATGAATTGGCCTTATGGATAACGTATGGATAAACTATCAGTCAGCCTCTGTTCGCAAGGCGAGGGCTAAAAAGTGACCGCGAGTGAAATACTCCTTACATGAGCTTTATAACAAAAATTAGCTGAACGATTTGGTGAAAAACGATGACTATTTTTAAAACAATGTTTTGGAACTTTGGCTCTGTGCTTCTGGCTCATTTTTGCACACCTCAACCTACAAGCTCCCTCAAAGTGGCAGTTCAATTTTCTAAAACTTCGAATTTTAAAAAGAACTAGACCACCCGTCATCCTTTGGATAACTGTGGGTTTCAGGGTTCATCCATAAATGACATCACGTCTGTCACTTATCGTCACAAAAGAACCAGACCCCACATTCAAAAAGACGTCACACCTCAGACGTTTTGGTATTTTAAAAACACCTATTTAAGCTAAACATATGTCTGACCAAACTAACCTTTCATATGCTGAGGTAAAAAAAATGGTCAACTCTACTTCACCTGCCCAGTGTCTCTACCCCCCCCCCCCCCCAACTCAGACATGTTTTTGTCTTTTAAAATTCAGGCTCCAACAAAACTTGTTAAATGCAAAGATGTGACGTCAATCCATCTGAATTCGACCCTTCCCCTGATCACACATGAACACAAAATTACAAACCCCTTCACTCCTCCACCCCCTCAAGGAGTGTGACGTCATTTATGGACGACCTATTTCACGATAATAACTATTAAATTAAGTGATACCAGATTTCTCATATGTTCATGTTCAACTTGACCATGGAAAGTAGTCTTTTTATTTTGAAACTTGATCATTCTGACTTGATGCATGCTGTATTTAATGAGGCAACTAAAGATGTTCACAAGTAACAATATTATCTTTATTTTATGAACATATTGTTTTTTAACATAAGCCTTTAATTGATGTACGTTGTACATTAACAACGTCTTGTTTCTAATGTTAATAAATGTTCACATTTCAATTGGATTTGAAGCTTTTTAAAAAAAAAATTTTACATTTTTTTTTAAATCTTTTTTTTTTAAGAACATCAGATTACCGATACTTTTGTATAAATGAAAAGGAGGCCGACCAACAAAGCCATTTAGACGTGAGCTGGAAGAAGACACCCAGAAAGTTGGATACACCTGAGGACAGTCAGAGAGAATAGCCCAGGACAGAGACGCCTGGAAAGCTCTTGTCAGCAGGAGGAGGCGAAAGACTTACCAAAACTAATTTAATTTTTACGTTTACCTGAACACACGAAAAGTTGACAGTCATGAGCTTTAAGTTTTATAAATATATTTAAAGTGTATTTATAACAATTGACATAATGTTTAAACATGATTGTTTGGTTTCATTGAATATAATAATGTCATAATAGTGGGTCACTGCACGTTGAATCAAATGGTGTCATAACAGTTAGCTAGAGAATAAAACTTGGATGTTTTGTTCTGTAGTAAATTGGCTGGAGAATCCACTTCTATAATTTTACCTTGCTCTAGCACAATGATTCTGTAAAAGGCAAATTAAAAAATTTTAGCATGCAAGAGTAAACTTGTAATTTATATTAGAGTCCCTCTGTGCATCAATCTATAAATATAATTACAAGACCATTACATTTAATTAAATGCTTTAACATAGAACGAATTTCGGAGGATTTTTTTTACTTTAAATTCTACAAAATCCTAACTTACATGTGTTGAAGGATCATTTTATATTCTATTAGTATTACTACGCATTTAGTAGGTTTAGAATGTTTTATCAAGTCAAAAGGTACAGAAGAATAATTATTGTCTCAATAGTGTTTGCGAAATAGTATTCTTTAAATTACTATTTAATTCTGTCATTATTACCTGTCATAGTCCATGACTGTATGAATTCTGTGGGCTATGGTGATCACTGTACAGTCCCTGAAAGCAGTCCTTATAGTTTTCTGAATAAAATCATCTGTCTCTATGTCCACTGATGCTGTTGCTTCATCAAAAACTAAAAGTTTTGTTTTTCTCAGTAGAGTTCTGGCTAGGCAGATCAGCTGTTTCTGTCCCACGCTAAACACAAATAAGTTATTAAAAAAAATGCTGAGAAGTTAATTAGAAAAACAAAAGTATTAAAAAAAATGGGTGTATCATTTTGAAATAAACTGTTAGGTAGACAGACAGAGCAAATTGGTTATGAGCATGTTTCTTCTAGTCTGATACGGCAATCCAGATGTGATGAGTTCCTGCACCGTTTTGTATTTGTTGTGATGTGTGTCGTGATCATGTCGTAATCATGTGAAAGAAATATAATATCGTATGTGACAATAAGTGATTTTACTAACCTGAGATTTTCTCCCCCCTCCCCAACATCATACTCCAGCTGATTGGGCAACTGTTGGACAAAGTCTTTAAGGTTGGCATGTTCTAAGCTATCCCAGAGTTCAATGTCAGATTTTTCATTGGATGGGTCAAGGTTCATGCGCAAACTTCCAGCAAAAAGTACTGGATCCTAAAAAAACGGTTTAGTAAGCTGGAGATATCATGTTCATAATAGATTGGGAATCTGGGCTATGTAGGTAAAGTACTCACATCAAATACTATTTCATAATGTGTGTGTGTTTATATAAACATGTACCTACTGTTACAAGTGAGTTTTTTAACACCATTATACTCTTATTTTAATAGGTGTCTTGCAATGAATAACTATTTTAAAATCAGTATATGAAGATTAATATTCTGGCATACTTTTAATTGAGACACCGTTAACAACTAAATTAAAATCCATGTGTTTACATAGTTTATAGCTAGAGTTCATATAAATTATGCCAAGGATTTCTCTTTTTTTACTTATTTTTATATACGAAGTATAGAGAAAGTCTTGTAATCGTGCAGACACAAAAAAAATAGAGATTTTTGCGAATCTCGACGTTTTACACTTCAACGATACGGAAAAACATAATTTTGCAATCTTGTCCGTATGTCTGTGTGTCTGTGTGTGTGTCTGTGTGTCTGTAAACACGATAACTTGAATACCGTTACAGCTAGGTTGATGAAATTTCATATATAAGTATTTTATCAAAATCGTAGATCCGTATCAACTTTTGAGCGATTTCCGATAACTGAAAGTGGTACTTTTTTACTTTGAATGTTTCAAAAGCCTATAATTTGAGTAATATTTCAGATAAATAAATAATAAATGAAATTTCACACGTATGTAAAAGATCTAAGTTTCTACCTTCTGTCAAATTTTGAGTAATTTCCTTTGACCGGAAGTACTAATTTACGCTATTCCCGATTTCTCAAAAAACTAATGTAAATTTATAAAGTACTAATACTATTCCGCACTATTATGCACATTTTATTTGGCGTTCACTGGTGTGCAATTCTTTTATCTTCGAGATTTTATTCTATTTTAAAAAGTTTAAGTATTTAAAATGGATTAAAATTCGTGTCTATATCCCGAGTTCCCATCCTCCGTTTTTTTATATAAGAATATTCGAGAAAGTTTATGGGAGATCACTCCCGGTTTATTTTAGTTGAAATAAAAAAGGGAAATAAAAAAGTTTTCCATTCCATAATTTTGTGTCGCTTTTTATACGTGTAGACTCTTTAGTTGTTTGTGTGTGTTCTATCGAGTGACAGGTGCCGTCTATTTATATATGGTTGTGTGTTGATGTTTTTAAGACTAACAGGTGTTCACCGACTGTTCATGTAGAAATACATCGGTGAAACGTGCAAAAACAAGTATTAGCATAATATAGACGTTTACAGTTGGTGTGTGCTGGGAAGTGTGTCGTGTGTAAAAATTAGCACCGGGTGTGTGCAGATGGGTGAGCTGAGAAGAGTGTTGTGTGTGACAGTTTGCACCGGATGTGTTGAGTGGAACGTATGTGGTGTGATGTGCATGTAGGAGATTATACTGAGTAAAATAAATTTATTTTTAGTACTTATTAATTTCTATAATAAATTGCTTTTTTTCCCACGTTTTCTTTAACTTGCTTTCGCGTCTGTTTGTTTGTCTTTCCATCAAATCTTGCGATCGAAATTTTGGGCACTTCCCAGTAAGCTAGCGCGCTGAAATTTTCAGGGAAGCTTTGTTTCCGATGACAATACAATATTCAATTATTATTATTATTATTACTAAATTATTCCATGGAAAAATTTTATTGATCATTTTAGACTCCTATTGATTTGTACAAAAAAGGGACATAACCTAGTAATTGTAATTTGATAAAAACAAGGTTCGGTACTTTCCCTCTTCTGGCTTACTGAAAAACAAATGAAAAATCATGAAGGAGCGAGCACGCAATTGGCTGAGTAGTGGTCACGCGGTGTTTGTGTACAAACCTATCCAAATCTGACTGATCAGGAAGTAGAATGTTGATGGTCGAATGGTTTGCACGCGAGGGCAAAATGGTGAAAGAAACGGCAACACAGAAGAAACGTCGATTGGAAAAGGCACGCCAGAAGTATCAGGAGATGCGCAATGCAGGATACAGATTGGAAAATCCTAATAAACGATCAAAAATTATGGAAGAAGGTGAGTATCAAAAGAAGCTTGAAAAAGATCGAAACCGAAAATCTGCTGCTTTTGCGATGGAGACAGAAGAACAAAGTGTCTCTCGTAAAGCAAAAGATAGAGTGCGTCATGCTACTGCTCGTGCGATTGAGACAGAACAAGAAAGGGTCTCTCGTCTTGCTAAGCAGAAAGAACGAACTGATGCTGCACTTGCGATTGAGACAGAACAAGAAAGGGTCTCTATTCTTGCTAAGCAGAAAGAACGAACTGATGCTGCACTTGCGATTTTCTACTTTTTAGTTCAATCAGAAAACGTGGGTTTTTAAAAAAAAATTAATGATAATTATTTATCTTTTACTTTATTTACGTAATATTTATTATTAAGAAAATTTCTGCAACATCGGTAACTTCTTACTCCCAAGGCACAAATTGTGTTTGTATTTCTAATTTGCAATCCCCCAAAGGTCTATTAGACTATATATATATATATATATATATATATATATATATATATATATATATATATATATATAATTGACCAACATCGCCACCATATAAACCGACTCAGATATTTTTAAAATCACTGTCTACCTGTGGCAGTATGGTGACAGCATGTCGAAGTGTGTGTAGCCCAATCTTTGAAATGTCCACACCATCTATTACAATGTAGCCACTTGCTGCTTCAATCAAACGGAAAAGGGCAAGAACCATAGAAGATTTACCTGCCCCTGTTCTTCCTACAATTCCTATCTAAGATTGAACAATAATATTTAGCTAATATAATAATCCCTTTATTAGATTATAGTTTAACTAATATGCAAAAATGGTTTGAATTTTTTTAAATTCTCAATAGAATAGCAAATTATAATTTACGAATAAAATGTTTATTGTCATAAATTGAATACCATTTGAGGGTCATCCGTAGACGACGTTACATCCCTATGGTAATCGGTGTTGGGTGGAAGGGGGGGAGAGTGTGTGGTCAGAAAATATGACGACACACTCTGCATTTTTATCAAACGCTTTATTTTTTAAGCTTTTATTTAGTTTAGAATGTTAGTTGTTTGTGATTTTGTTACATTTTTTGCTATTCAGGTCAACTTCCAATGCAGCGATTTTATTCAGTTTTTCTATAAACATTTTTTCTCCAATGACAATACAAAAATACATCATTTTTAATATAATTAGACATTAGTCAATCGAGAACAATGTGTCCAAAATTGTGGCGTTATTTAAGGATGATATGTCTGATAAGATTATAAAAAAATACAATTAACATATTTTTAGATTTTACCTTTTCTCCAGCATTTATCGACACATTGATATTTCGCAGTACAAAATCTAATCCTTCTCTGTATCTTGCACTATAATTAACAAATTCTATATTTCCATTCAGTGGCCACACACCTGATAATCTACTGTCATCTGGCAAAGTCCAAGGAGCCTGGGAGTAAAGATTTTTTACAAGCTTTTATTTAACTTGCCTTCTCTAGATGACGTGTTTATTTTGTTCTTCGTCATGAGTCTAAACGGGCTAGTGAAATTTCGAAAACTTTTAACGGACCAATTTCTTTCAAACTTGGCACGTGGGTCAAGATCCGAAGACAATTCAATGTGACACACTTGTTTTAACTAACTGGAAGCTTCAGAATTGTAGATAATTAATTACATTGTCCGATATAAAGTATTAATTGTCCGCGCTATTATACGCACATAATTTGAGGTCAGTTGGTTTTAGCCACGCAGTTTCATTGTATTAAAACACGACGTGTTGGAAATTAAAGCTGGAGTGATTTTCCCTAAACGCTCTCATTTAATATTATATAACAATAAGGTTTACACTTCCAGTGCAATTAGACTATAAAAAAATGTTTTTATCAAGTTTTTTAAAAAATACTTACATCTTTTGAATAGATTAGAATCACATAAAATAAAGAATTGCGTACCAAATGAATGCAAACAGTGTGTGTACAATAGAGCAAAATGTGTTACTTTATTAAAGAAACATTGATTTTTTTTAAAGTTAATTTAACATTGAAACAAGTCTCATCAAAACTTGACCAACCTGAAAAGTTTGAAATAAATAAGTCCGGTAGTAATGGTCGAAATTTCGCTCTCAATAGTCCGCCCGTTGCGGATGACACACAGAGAAATGAAGTTCAATAAACTTTTAAGAAAACTATTAACTAATTATGTAAAGTACAAAATTCTCGACTTGGGAAATCATTCACAATTTGAAAGATACCTGTGAGGAATATATTATACCTATGTATAAAATTTCGTCCACCTAAAAGAAACGGCACTGAAGTTATCGGTGTTTTTTAATACAGAAATAGAGTCAAGTACCATTTCCGAATGTTGGAGGTCGCTAATCCTCGTTTAAGATATATACTTATATGAAATTTTGTCAACCTAACTGCTCAAGTTGTCTTTTTCACATGGAAGAAAAGTGCCACTTTCGTTTAACAAATATCAATGAAAAGAAAGAAACGTGCGCATACAAATAAACTCCATAAGTTAAATTTGGTCAACGTAACTAAATCGGTAATCACAAAACATACAGAAACACAAGCAAAATTGCCCCAATTAAATAAAATCATCGCTCTATAATTTCCTCAATATTTTTTTCTGAAATACACAAATTAAACGGAATATCCACGCTTTAATTACATTTTTTAAGATTTTTTTTTTTTACTTTTTAGGGCATAATTCTATTAAAAAGTATTATTAAAATGTTTTTTTTTCTTTCATATAGTCAGAAAATGCAAATATTAACAAATCTGTTAAAAAATTTCAATATAAATTTTACCTCATTTTTAATGTGTGAATATTCTTGAATTCTTTCCACAGATATAATGTTTGACTCCAGGTCACTTGACATTCTTGTCACTAATGTCATGTCATTTGTAATCTATTAATAAAAACCACATGATAATTAAGAAAAATATTTCTCAAAATAGACATTTAACAAACAATGTTGTTGTTTTTTTAATGAATATACTAAATATCTCCAATTTATAAAAAAAAAAATTAAAAAATTATCATTGACTATGTATTAAAAATAAAATTCTTCTTACCATTAATACAAAGGTGATGGACAAACTAACCAGACCAGGAGCAACTTCCCCTCTATTAATTATTGTAAAAAGGGTAACACCAGCAATTAAAATATATGTAATAATATCCAAACGAGTTTGCATCCACCTGTTAAAAATAAATATGTCTTCTTTTATTAATATACAGATTAAACCTTCTTATAATCAAAGAGGATTTTAAAAAAAATAATAATTCATAAACAATACTGTCCGAATCGGATATTATGCATGTCTTATTGATGATTTCAATTAAGGGATATACAGAGGTAACTTACTTGTTGGTTGCATACATGATCATCATAGGTCTCTGAAAGAAGTCGACCTTCATGTGAGAGTCTTGTGTGAACCTCAGCTGCTGCCTGTGTGCTCTGATGACAGTCAGACCAGACAGTGTCTCGCTGAAGTGGGCAAATACAGGTGAGCGATTTTTGGATGCAATTCGCCTCAGCTGACATGAAGTCCTGATATAATATTGCTAGTAAAGAAAAATAATGGTTAGAGTATATTTAACCTACTTTCCATCTACGACTAATGCTATTTATACACTTTAACAAGCACTGATACTAATAATTAAATTTTAAATGAGCCTTACATAAATCAATTTAGAAATTTAGTTCATTAAATTATATATTGGAAAAAAACACAGTCAAATGTAAATAATGTATTTAAAAATCTTTACCTGCACAATAATAAAAAGAAAGACAGCAACAAATAATACACCAAGGAATCCTGGGAAAACGTAGCTGATAATACCAAGAATTCCCAAAGCAAACATCACGTGCTCAATAAATATCTCCAAATTCATAAAAATTTCACTGTCTAAAATATCCAAATCTTGACTAAACCTGTTCAAAATTCGCCCCATGGGAGTTGTATCAAAAAAACTCATGGGTGCTCTTAGAACTGCATTTATAAGTTTTGCATGTATCCATCGAGAGGTGGTCACATGACGGAACTGGAACAGCCCAGAGTATATCAAAACGCATAAAGCTGTGGACAATAATTGTTTTTAAATATTTAAATTTTGAAGGAGCACATAGATTATTGAATTATTATTTGATTAAAAAAAACTTCAATAATATTTTAAGAATTTTACAATATATCTGGTGAAATACTAATTATAAAATTTTGATTTTTTTTAATACATTAAATTTTAAAATTACTTTAGAAGCATTACGAATTTGAAGTTTAAAAACTCGCTTCTTATATTGTTCAGAAGTATTTTTAGTTTTAATAGCAAGCTTACACTGAATAGAGCCCCAGATAAAATACGACTGAATAAAATGTTTATTTATGTCATATCTTTCATTGCTGTTTGCTGGTAGCTCTGTCAAGTTAGACAATCGAATATCCCCTATCCACATTGTCAAAGTTATGTATGCTGCATTATAGGTTGCATGGAAACCACATATTAAAACAGCTGTCAGTAAAACATATGGTACGCCATAACCTTTGATGATATCTAAATAAACTTTCCATTTGACCTGAGGATAGAAATAAATATATGAATAAAATATAAATAGAATGGTTAATGTACAGAATAAAGGATGTTTGTTATCATAATACTACTAAAACTCAAGTTTGTTTACATGTTTGAATATTTATTTGTTTGTTTTTTGTTTGTCTGATTGGCTACTGGAGAGTATCTGCGCTATGTGTAGAGCTGTAAAATAGTATGTAGGTAGAGAACATTTTTTTGTTTTCAGACAGACTGTTAATCACAAATTTATTAATTTGTTAATTAATTTATTGATTTATTCATTGGTTTATTAACCACATTAATTATAAAAGTTTCAAACAGTGGCTTTACTTTGACTGAATAATGACATCATATGATTTGTTTACTTTTTACATCAACAATGGCGGCTTCTATCGAAGAAGATTGTGTTCCCATTCCAATGTTTAACGCGTTATAAAGTTAATTTTCTGTCGGCTATAACTTTAACAATACGTCCGTTTGATGTATTTATTATGTTCCAACACTTATATCAATTTTCAGCTGTCTTTTTCATTTAGTTTTACAATAAATTTCTCTAGATCTACAGATCAGCTGTCGAAGGAAGAAAAAGTTTTGAATCTAGATCTAGATCTATGTCACTAGCCTTAACGTAAATTCTAGATCTAGACTTAATGTAAATTGTACATCTAGAATCTATTTCAGACCTTCATTGTTTTGTATAAATCTTTTTTTGTTTTGCTATGCAATTGGCTAATTTAAGATAAAATTTAATTTGAAAGTTACTAGACTTAGATCTAGATCTAGATAGGACCTATGCGCGTAAATCAAGTTGCATAAGGAGACACTCATAGTATTAAGTTATACCACAAAAAACATCAGTGAGGTCACGAGTCTAGACAGCTAAGTTGTCAGTGTAATAGGCTTTCATGCAGGTGGCAGGGGTTCGGTTCTAAACACATCACGTCCATGTTAAAAAAAATTTTTTTTAGATGTAAATGATAAATTTGACTATCTGAACTTGGCGGGATACAGGGCAGATGAAGTAGAGTTCAGCTGTTTCTTTGTCCTAATCACATGAAGTGTGGTCAGAGACATGCTCGGCCGGAATCATTTTTTTAAGGACACTGGGCAGGTGAAGTAGAGTTGAGTAGGTCACCTGAGACGTCATATATGAATGGGATAGTGTGGTCAGACCTATGCTCAGCCGAAATCGGTGTTTTTAAAAGATAAAAAAACCTCCTTTTTAATGTGGGGTCTGGTTATTTTGTGATGATAAGTAAGAGACGCGATGTCATTTATGGATAACCCCCGAAACCCACAGTTATCCAAGGAATGACCGGGTAAGTCTAGTGAATATTTAAAGTTGTAAACCAATGATCCATACTTTTCCTATTTGAGTTTCTTCCAATGTGATGAGCTTACTCCTATCAATGGACCCATCTTCCTGCTCTTTTAAAGACACATCCAAATTACTGTAGATTTGTTAAACATAAAGTTGCCTATAAATTTTTTTTCTATAAATTTATAATAGTGAAATAAGCATTTCATAATTAGAAAAATGTACAATTAATTGTCATTAATGTTTTTATATGAATTTAGACAAATAAAATTGCTTCAACTCTCCTAAGATTAAATTTTAGAAATTAACTTGCTTTTGAAGAATGTTATTGTGCAGTCTGTTCTTTTCGTTGGTAGTTTTTTCAAACATATTTCCTATTTAAAATGTTCAAGTTTTAATTTGAAGATGACATTAATAATAAATGGAAATTCAATGATTAAAATAAATAGCCAAAACAATAAATAATATTTCAAATAAAGACAAATACATAATATCTAACTTAAAGCTTTTCTTTCATATATCATGCAAACTTTGAAAACAATTATTATTACTCTCAAGTAATATCAAATAAAGAATTATTGTGAAATCTTTACCTGAAGTATCCCAGTCTGACCCGGTATCATTGTTACTACAATCAGATAACAATCGTAATATATTTTCACAGCGGTTGTTCCCAAATTGTAAAATTTCAGGGCCCCCAGAATCTACAATTTTACCATCATGCATAGCAACAACCAAGTCCACGTTTGACAATAAATGAATTCCATGTGTGACAAGGATACGAGTCTGTTAAATATGTTAAATGTCAATAGAATTAAATGATATTTTGATATATTGTAAATCAATTTAAAAATAAACAGAAAATGTGTTTCTTTATTACGTTCATTCGTTGGATAATAAAATGCATGACTGTTAACCTGATAGTCTTGAGTATGGGTCCTAGGATCGAGACCCTTACTATATACACGAAGTTTCGATGGATATCGGACTTATGTAAAGGAAAAGTAAATATTACAGCTGGACATACTGCTGACCATATCAAGTCACCAAACGATGATCCTTACTTCACTGTTTCAATTTTAATCTTTTTTTTAAATGTATATAGAACAATACCTTTGAAGGTTTTGAAAACAGAAAAAAAATTGTTGCTTAACCTTCCTGTTTAAAAGTCCAGTGTTGCTCATAACATTTTGGAAGATGTGTTGTCCCACATGGCTGTCCACTGCACCCAATGGATCATCAAACAGGTAGATGTCAGCCTGGCTATAGACTGCTCTTGCTAGAGAAATTCTCTGTTTCTGTCCACCTGACAAGTTCACTCCCTTGAAAGAAAGTAATGCCAAAAAAATACAATAGTGTGTACTCAACTTATTTTTTATAGTATGTGTACGAATGATTCAATGAGTGTGAGTGTCAAAATTACTAATTGAAATTAATTAACTTGAAGATGTCGTGTGTATCAATTTTCAACTTATCTTAAATATTTGTGAGCATTATTTAATCTATTTAATCTAATAAATAAAATTATCGGAAAGATGTGTGTATATTAATTTAATTATCTTAGTGATGAATGTGAATTAATTAATCAAATTATCCTATTAATGAGTGGGTGTACTTTCTCTCCAATTTCTGTCAGGTCACCAGCAGGTAAAATCTCCAGATCTTGGTTTAAAGCACAGGCAGCAATGACAGTTGTGTAAAAAGTTGGATCAAATTCCTGCCCAAATGTAATGTTCTCTCTCACTGTTGCATTCTGGATCCAAGCTTGCTGTGGTACATAGGCTAGAGAGGACTAAAAAAAAGATTTTACTGCATTCATAAAAAGAAGTCTAGTTTTCTTTTAAAAACTGTTTTATTGTTTTTTGGCACTGTATTTTCTAATAGATTCATACAAAAAATATTTTAATATATAGTCATCAGTCTATTTTCAGTCTTAAGTCTTGTAGAAGTCACACTTTTCAGTGGGGAAGTGGAAATGTTAGACTTTGCAAAATTCGGCACTATATCGGATTATAGGCACTCCATAAATAAAATTACACTTCTGGGTAAAAGTGGGGCGAGGTTCAACATTTTCAGATAATGTTAGATTTGGCGAATGGTAAACAAAGTTTATTTTGAAAAGTCAATTATTTTTTAGTAGTGTTTTTTTTTAGTTATTTTTTAGATTTTACAGACTTTTAGTAAATTATGATTAAATTGATCAAGCTTTGTTAACATTTTAGAGAGAGATTTGTTTTAAAAAAAAGAAAATTGCAGTTGTAAGAGGATGAACTGACCAGTCTTCATTTTATATTGTGATTATGTGTAATAAAGGATGAAAAGGGGTTTGAAAACTTTGGATACAATTTATTTTCGGATTGAAAACGATCGTCATTATATATGAATGCCTCCGAATCCATTATATAATAGAAAAACTGTAATCTCATTACGTACCTTAGTTTTGAAATGTAATTTAGTGTTCCTTTATGAATTAGCCCTCATACATTTTAATGCCAAACAGTAATGGGTGAGGTATTTGCACATGAGGGTGATCTAAGTTTCATATGTTTACAGAACTTATATATTCATTAGAATTTCAACTAATCACTGGTTAATGGTTGGAAATTCATCATAATTAAGATGTCATATTAATGAGAACAGGATTTTTCTGGAATGTGTTAGAATCCCTATTAAAATCATCATATCTAATAACCAGACCACTTATGTAAGAATTCTTACATTGATATTTGAGCTGCCTGAAATCCTGTTCATCTCTCCCAGTAGAGCTAGCAGCAGAGATGATTTCCCAGCACCGACTGACCCCACCACTGCCACCAGCTTGCCAGGCTCAATCTTTAAATTGATGCTTGAAATTGTAAAATATAAACATTACGAATCACAGAACAATTTTTCACAAAATCTCAATTCAATTTAGTTTAGTTTTAGTTTCAATTACAAAATTAAATATATTTTATGAAAATTAGCTAGCTGTATTTAATCAGTTTTCTACATTTTAAAAAATTAACATAAATGTAAGACATTCTATTTACAGAGACATTAATTAAACTATTTATTTTTCTAATTTTAGAATCAGAAGCATACTTTCTAAGGATAATATTTCCTGACTTTTCCCATGAAAACGAAGCATTGTCCATCCGGATTGCAAGATCTGTATAAAAAAAACATTATTTTAATCTTTTTATTTAATACATTGCAGATAGGTAAATGTAATATGTTACTTTAGCTCTGAAAGTTATTAATAAAATCGTTTTACCTTCTAAATTATTATCTTCAGTTGCGTCGAAATCTTCAGCCTGTAGAAATGTGTTAATACGAACGATAGAACCAGCCATCTAAAGACACAGAGTTGGAAATTTTAAGAACTGTTGGAAATTACAAGAAGAAGAATAAAACTCAATGATATTTTTTCCTTATTCTTCTATAAAATTAGGAATATCATTATTCCATATCCTGAGCTTTCTACCACATAGATATTATATTTCACTAGATCTCCAACCATCTCTCTCCAACAAAATATTTTAAATTGAATTTTCCCTCCTTAAATTGTTATTGGACAAAGTCTACCATCTCTAGCCTTATTGGTTTTACTGTTTAGAAACGTCATCACCTCCCAGCCAACAAGTTAACATCCTACTGTTTTTGTATTGGATACTCAGTTTTTGGTATTACATACTTTGACAGCATATTTCATATTGAGAGGACAATTAGTGATAGCCATCCTGATCAAATTTATATAATTGATTGCAACAAAAGCTGTTCTTGTGCTGACAAAATGATGCTCATTAAAACTGACGTAGGTCACCAGCATCAGAAATGTTATCTATAAAAAAAATTATCAAACAATTTGTCTCATTTTATAGAATTTATTTTAAACCCTTAATTCATTTATAATTTTATAAATTTGAAAAAGGAAAAACAAAAGTATTTTCCTTAAATGTAGTCTATTAATGAAATTTAATACAAAGTATGTCTGGGGAAAAAATCTCTCTATAATTAAAATGGACATCGTTTTTAAATTACCCAGAACGTTGCTCCTGTGTAGGCAAAAGTGTCAATCCAGTCACACATTGAATGTTTCTGTAAAACCTTCAGCTCTTTTTCTCTAATGCTCATTATTTTAGAGATAAACATGGGTTCCCAGCCATATAACTTTATAACCTGAAAATGAAAAACATAGTGATTAGGATTTTGAACATTTTTAAAAATATTCTATAATATCATTCTCATATTAAAAAAATATCTGTGTAAATATTGTTTCATTAAAATCTTAAAGTAAGAAGTTAAGAAATGTACCTTGATGCCTTGCAGTATTTCACTCATTGTGTTTAGTCTTACATCTTTTACTCCCATCATCTCTTCTTGGTAAGCTCTCATTTTTTGTGTTATAGAAAGATTGCTTATTAACATCAAGCAGATTAAACCTAGCCCTAAAACAGAAGGATTTTGCATTTAATAATCGTGTAGTATGTTGTTTGTCTATGATGATATAGTATGATGGTTTTACAAATATGCTTTTGATTTTTAAGTTCTCTTTAAGTAAATTTTTTGCTTTCTAAAATAGTTGGGTGATTAAGAAAATATTACTGGCTTAGACCTACTTTTCTCTAACACAATGTTTAAATCGTATATAATGGATAGTTAATTTGTGAATGAATAGTGAAAGTAACAAGAAAAATATTTATACATATTTTTTTTTAAAATAATTCCCGAATTGCATATGCACATTCGTATGATTTGAATATTGTATATAGGTTTTTATAGGTTTTCTATTATTCTAGCAAAAGATCAATCGAATAATTTACAATCGAAAATAACTATTTAATCTTATATGTGCCTGCAAGTTCTTATAGGGAAGTCTAAATTTCACTCTACACATCTCTAATATTTGATGTGTTCTTTATATTCGGTGGAACTAATATATATATATATATATATATATATATATATATATATATATATATATATATATATATATATATATATATATATATATATATTACCTGAGAGCATCGCGAGTCCAATGACAGTATACAGCAAGTAACACCCAAAGACAAAGAGCAAAATACTCATCCATATCCAGAATGCACCATTTAGACACAGCTCAAAGTGATTTGTGTCGACAGACATCAAGTTTGAGATTTCCCCCAAACTGAAGATTTTTCGTGACTCATTAGATATACGCAACGACTGCAAAGCAAACATAAATTTTTTAAAGAATTGGCTTTTTTATATACACATTTCTAAAACTGTATTATACCTTTATTTATTTATTTATTTATTTATTTATTATCATTTCTCTAAATTTTAATAGAAATTGATTAATTTATTTAATTTTGACCGAGCTCAGATAAAAGTTTTGGAAATTTAAATTCATTCATTTACATTAGTTTTTTGTTGAAAAATATGTATCAAATTTTAAAAAAACATATTTTTTAAATCTTAAATTTTCTTAAATTTGAGCCGCATTTTGGAATAAACCCTAATGTGCCCTGTGGGTTTTGGAAACCTACAAATGCTAGACCTATATCCTATGGATTAATATGCAAAATGATAGCCATCACAGGTTCAAAAAATTGTCAAAAGGAAAGAATACCTTTTGAAAAATGGCGCCAATAGCAGCACTACGAACACGAATGGCCAGTCTGCTGTTTAGGTATTCGGATGATTGGCTAAAAACTGTGGTCAGGATCTTGTTCGCTAACAATAACATCATAAGGACATAACCATGCCAGTGTGGTTCCGTCATATTTACACTGTAGTCTATCAACCAACTGAAACGAAAAGAACCCATAAGAAAAAAGTGCTATAAAAAAACATAAAGCCCACACCAAATAGCATTATGAATGGCTTTTTATTTCTTTTGCCTAGCTTTTAACTTCAATAGCTGTGTGGTTTTTTTAAATCTCGAGCGATATGTTGTTATCAAAAATAGAGAAGCTAAGAACCCTTTGAAAAATCTTTTAGTAACGCTACTGAGAAATTGTCTTACCCACGCTCAAATTCCCATCCATCATTTACAGCTATTATATTGTTAAGTACCAAATAGTTTTAATATTACATTTAACCCCATCCCGCCCATACCTACTTACCTACACTTACGTTGCCTACGAACATAACTCTTCTTTTTTTTTAATTTAAAAATTCAGTAATCATTTTAAAATGATAATAATCATAGAACAGCCACCATTTTTATTTCAATTGCCGATAAAGCTGTAAAGCGTGGTGTTGCAAATCTAGAAGCTCGACAGCTTGATAGCGTTAAGTGATATACAGACCTTTGACCTATCGTTTGAAGTGGTGAATCCTTATTTACAGAACTTTAATTTTAACACTATTTTAAAATGTGATTTCCTTAACTTACCCTAAGATGATTGGGATAAATAAATTCATAGCCACATAAACCAACATCCCAATATTGCAATATAAAAACTCCCATCTGAAGGTTAAAAACAGAGACATGAAGAACGATCTTTGTTTTGGCTTCTTTGTTTCATTGCTAACATAACTATTGACGGCGTCATAGGAGCGTCTCTCTGTGTCTTCACAGTTGTTGGCGTCCAAAAGTTGTGTTTTTTGTTCATCGCAGCTTGGCTTAGCTCTTATCCACTCCAAGGGTCCCAGACGAAACCATTTCCTTCTTGGTGAACTGTTAATAATAGTTGTTGAAACAAATTACTTGAAGTTATGTTTTTAATTTTCGATGTGTGTGGGGGGGGGGGGAGAGGGAAGGAAAAGTGGGGTGAGTACAAATATTATTCACATACATTTATAACATGGTTGCAGAATGCGTATAAAAATAACGATAGTTTGTCTCTAAAACATAACATACGGTGTCATCACACCTCTCATTATTCAGCTGGATTTCATTCGAAGGTTTGCATCCTAAGGCTTTTTTATTCAGTTCCCCAAAGTGTTCAAAAAGTGAGATAAACAACTTGTATGAACTTTAACCACTGATGTTGATTTAAATAGTTTTAAATGAAACAGGCCGTCTAGTGGTACAAACATATGCTTGCAATATGGTGGAAATTTCGAAACAAAAGCAGCTCATTGTGAATTCGCAAAATTAAATATTTAATTTTTTTTAATGCCATGAATAAAATCATAATTACAGTTAAGATACACAAAGCATGGTATCTTTATTACATCTGCAATTATTTCCACCATTATGCAAAATGTTTGGCTTTCCTTTGTCAGGATACGTCAACATTATTAGCCACAAGCTACTGTTACTTCACTGAATGCTATATATTTTAGCGAATGTGGGTATTTGTATTCCAGAAATGCTTAATGGCATTCAGAAATGTCATTATAAAGTCATTAAATGGAAGACTCTCAATTGAAAATAGTAAGACAGATAGCAGCAAAGCACATACCTGTGGGCAGTAATTATGGAATTTTTTATGAGCGCATCTGTTACTGATGCTGACGTGTCCTGCGGCATGAGATCGTATGCGTCATCGTCTTGTAATGGACGTTTGTATCCCAGGCGCATCAGGCTTAAAATACGAACAGAACTAGTTGGTTTGTATGCAGAGTTTGGACGTCTGATAGACGTTTGTGTTGGGAGAGAATGTTTGTTAATGAATGTTGTAACGGTGTGGGTGGGGAGAGAATGAAAGTCAGACATCTATGTCCGGCTAAATGTCAGACATCTATATCCGGCTAAATGTCAGACATCTATGTCCGGCTAAATGTCCGGCTAAATGTCAGACATCTATGTCCGGCTAAATGTCCGGCAACAACTTACGGTTCCAGCCACGTGAAGGAGATCCAGGATAAAACAGCAGCCGATGTCTCAGGGTTATGTGACTGTGGAGATTAGAATAGATAGGTGAAAGACTCTACTTTTCTCTAACTCTAGCTGTTGTCACAGTAAAATACAGTTAGTATTGAAACGCGTCTCGTTTATGTGTTTTTCACGTAGGCTATTAGGCTTGTTCATGTATCGTATATTAGTGAAAATAAAAACTATTTGAATGCTTAATTATTTTAAATTTAAAAAGTGTATGTATCACAGCATTGTTTAACATATAGGCCTTCAAACTTCGGTGTGATCTGTCTTTAACTAATTTAATCACGTAAAAAGTTATTTCGTGTAAGATGTAAAAAATGGGTGTACAAGTTTTAGCCATTTATAATTGGTTGTTAAATAGTCGAACAACAGCCACATAGCGCTCTTAACTTGGTGGATGATTAGGGAGCGGGTGTAGTTGATGGTTGATAGTCAACCACATGGTGGTTTTCTTAAACGACAAAGTCTACGGGTGAGATTGAGAGAAAATGGCAACCGTTATTCTTAAAAACAGGGAGCGTTGGTGTGACTGACATTGCCTATGTTTCCGTGACCTACTGACTTCCTCGTGACTCCCTGTGGGGCATAAATCAGTGACTCCGCCATGCCTCCCTGTGGTCATAGACAGCAACAACTCTGCCCTATGTGGCATAAGGCAGCAACAAAGCTCCGCCATGCCTCTCTTATCTGGACGAGCCACCAGATTTCAAGCAAGGTTTTGCTTGTGGTCAGCACCTCTTCCATCTCTCTTCTCCACGTTCTTAATGGTCGTACATTCTTTCATTTTTCAGGTTGATTCTATCTCAGTGCCGTGTTGGGAGACTTCTTTTAACATATTCAGTGCATTCCCCAACCAACACCACCTTCCTGGTGTTATCTCACACACAATATTGTTTAGGCCGGTCTTCTCATTTCTCTACTTGTTATTGGATCCCCCCCCCCATTTATGTTCTGAAGACGGTGAATGGATCGTCTCAAAAACCTATGATGCGGCGTTCGCTTTGCACGTTTCTGCAGCATACAGGAGCCTGTTGAAGGTCCGTACTGCCATAGCTATTCATTTTGCTCTTTCTTTTTTGGTGATGAACTTAGATAAATGTAGCTTCCAATGTATTTGAAGTCTTCGACCTCTTCCACTGCACTAGGGGATGAATTAACTGTACTTTTAGTTTTTACCTTTATCTGTTTGTTTTTTCCAGAGTTAATCTGATGTCACTCTAATGTCAGGTCACCTCACTAATGTTGTACTGCGCATGCGTATGTCACCGAGACCTACATAGGACACGACACTACCATGCTACTAACCATGCCTTTAGCCCCATGGTACTCAGCAAAACACGTGACCACCAGAATCCCTGTAGTCGCCACATACCGCACTACCACCAGGCTAAAGTTGAACGTGTCTCTTGCATGGTCCTAGACGTGGGGGAAATAATTGGATCACTTTTTAAATAATACAAAAATATATTCTGTATTTTGATTACTGCAGCTAATCTGAGCTATGTTCATGGGCGGACTAGACCCCCCCCCCCACCCTCATTTTCCTTTGCTAAACAAAATTGGTTGTGAACTCGCAGCAATAAATGTTCTAAATTGTTTCATCTTTATAAAAGTTAAGTTTAGACCGCGATCTGTAAGCCTATTTTCTCTCAGGGTCGTGTGTATCGGGAAGCGATTGAGGTATACTTGCAACAAACAATAGGGTCATAGTAGAGAGGGGGACACATTTTAACAAACATAGTGGAGAGTGGTACGAATTTCAACACACATTTGTTACTTAGCGAGAAGGGGGTGAGATTTGATGCACTGATCGCAAAAAGTATTTTCTCAAGCAGAAAAATTGCACCGTGATTAATAACAAAATGGTATGATGAACATAAAGGTAAAATTTCCAGTTGATTATTTCTTGCATTTTTTAACACTATCATAAAATCGTTTGATATATTTCAGCTGTAAACACATAACAGGGGTTGTATTTTGTTATAGAGTAAAAGACGAATTAGACTAGATCTAATTTTTCTGATAAGTAACAATAAAATATTTTAGAAAAAAAAAATAACATACTGAATTGTCTTATTTCGCTCAGGTTATGCCGTGTATGTTCAACACTTTAGTATAGATACGTGTTATAAGTTATATCAATATAGAGCCCAGTAGGCTGCTAATATATTTGCATCAAGAAGATTTATGTAGGCTATCTAACAGGGCCTAACATTTTCACTTTATTTCAGTGACAATGGACTTACATATTTATAACCTTTCTAAATTATAAAATAATTCGAATAAATAAACAACTAAAAACTCACTCCGCTCATTCCCTTTTCAAAGATTTTCACAAGCAAACAGAACGATGCCAGGGACCAGTAGACAAACATAGGGAAAGATCTGACAACGTTACGTGATTTCTCTAGCACAATGGTGCCTATGTAGAACATCTGAAAAAAAGGATTCAGTCATTAGGTCAATACACATACTTTAGACGACAAGACATAGCACAGACATAGCACAGGGAGACTAACTCTGTCATCGCTGACTTTTGAAGTTTAGTGCCTACATTTGGTGGCAGTGAGATTTGTTTTTGTGCCTACATTTAAGCGGCAGTGAGATGTGTTTGAGACTCCTTAGCACCAACAGCGACTACACCATGATCTAACTATTAATTTGTTTAAAAAAAACTTCGGTTCGGTATGTTATGTGTTATATAAAAAAACAATCTTATGATAGTGTCATCCTCGTTTGTTATGAGTCATTTATAACATCAACAAAAGACCTCCCCCCCCCCTTTTTTTTTTCACTTCTCTTCGTCATAGACAAAACGCGTCATGACAAAAGTTATCACCACCCACCCACATGGCTCCACTTGACCTGTCCATACAATCAGCAGTTAGAGTCAACTTACCAACATGAACATGTGAACCAGTATCACAAGAAGTTGTTCAGACACTGTTTCCTCCGTCACTAGAGCAACAGCCCACGTGATATCAGCTGCCCCAAGACACGAAGATAAGATCTAAATAAACATGAAATATGTTTTTAGAAAAAGAATATAAAATACACAGTTCTATTCAATATCGTAAAATGCTCTGATATTTTATAATTAGTTCAACCCAGTAGTAAATATCATGCACCCTGATTTGGATCCCTGGTTGGATCCTTTGGTCTTTAATGAATTCTGTGAGAAGAAAACGTACGAGTTTAGCAATAAAAATCCAGCAGACCGGATGTTTGTCACGTGACGAGGTCAGCATGTGATACCAGTAGCACGGGGTCGTAAGTAAAAACCAGAAGGCCGGCGCCAGCTCTAGAACTGTGTTCTGGAAACATTCTGAGAGCTCGGGCCATGTGTTGTTTGACCAGGCTAACGAAGAGTCCTTGGGGAATGGGAAAGTTTACATTTCACATGTGTATACATCAGAATAGGAAAGTTTACATTTCATATGTGTATAAATCAGAATAGGAAAGTTTACATTTCACATGCTACTAATCAGAAATAGAAAGTTTACATTTTACATGCTTACTAATCATAATAGGAAAGTTTACATTTCACATGTTTACTAATCAGAATAGGAAAGTTTACATTTCACATTTGCATAAATCAGAATAGGAAAGTTTACATTTCACATGCTTACTAATTACTAATCAAAATAGGAAAGTTTACATTTCAAATTTTAACAAATCAGTATAGGAAAGTTTACATTACTCATGCGTTTAAATAAAAAAAAAGTAAGTTTACATTTCATTTGTTTGCAAATTTTTAAAAAAAAATTAATTTTTACAAATCAAAATATAGAATTTTTCATTTCACATTTTTACAACACTAAATCAAGAAGGTTTTACTTGTTTACAAAACAATAGCTGGAAAGTTTCACAACAGTTGATAATTTACATTTCACCTTTTTACAAAATATAATTTTATGGCCTAATATGTTTATGCAAAACGATTCGCGATTTTCTTTCCCAGTATTACACAATCCGTGGTCTAGAGAGGTAATTACATTATAGACTGCAGTATATGGAGGACGCCATTTTACTGGTAGCAAGTAGCTGGGCTGATTTGAATATCTATTCTTTAAAGTACACGACACGACAACACAGTGAAAACATTGTTAGATCGATGCTAACTTTCTAATTGGACAATATCGAGCTGTTGCTCAAGGTTCGTGCGACCTCTAACAGAAGGATTAACGTGAAACATTAAACCCTAGTAGACCCAGTGAAGTACTAAACCCTCGTAGACCTAGTCACTAATACTAAGAGGAGGGAAAACATAACTAATTTTATAATAATCCTCACTTTAGTTTGATTGTTAGTGCGTGTGCCCTTGTATTTCATTACGTAAACTCTTAATACAACTACATCAAAACTGTTAACATTAACCCTAACCCTATTTTTCCTAAACTACAACCACTTAATGAGCTATTGGATCAGTGTTCAAACATGAGCTTATTTACTAGTTAACTAGAAAATAGTTTACTAGAATAAAACAGTTATTTAAGTATGATTGGCACAAACTATTTTTTTTTAAATATCCTAAGATGTATCTAATCAAGACCACACAAAAAAAATTAAACACTTACCCAAAGTTGATGCTGTGTGCAAACCTTCAACATTTCTACTGTTTTTCACCAATTTGTTTGTAATCACATAGCTGGTCTTATATTAATTAGAATATATAGGGTAATTAAATTAAACACCGTGGCCTATGAATTATTACCAGCGTATCACAATCAAGTTGATGTTGCGGGTTTTATAGTAGAAATAATTAAGCGAGTAGGCCCAAATCAATGAAATACATAATAGATCACGCGTCAGAATTGTATTGTAGTCTAACTCTCTGTTGGGCTGTGATGTCAATAAATGAACGATGTAGAGCTTTTATGCGGCGGTTTATTGTTTTGCGTTTGTATTACTATGTATTTATTCTGGTAAGGCCTGCCAAGTTGAATAATATACACAAATTTATTTGTTGAGTTATATATTCATTTGCTCGATTTAGAAAGCTTAGGTGCTGCGACCAATGCAGGCGTTAGGGACACTATCAGTTTTGTGCCCCCTCCTTTAAATTATTTATATAAGTTACGGCCGACTCCGAAGTGCAGGCAATGAACGCATTGGCCGGCCAGTTCGTGTACAGCTTTAAATTGACAGTTTTCTTACACTGCCTGGTCAATGCGGGAACTGGCCCGGATGCCCTGGCCGATGTACGATATAGCTTACCGTATGATTGCGTCTCGGTTATTCTAGCTGCGTTTGTTTAGTGAGTATCTTATTCCTCACGGCCATCAGGTGTTAAAGCCTTGTCGTGGCTTGGCAGTGCTAAAGCAGCGGGAGTGTAAACTCCTGGTAGGTTCAACCAAGCTGGGAAGATCTGCGTGGGTAGGGGTCAGACAAAATTAGCACTCTGGATCTCCAGGTTGGGGGTTGAAACATAAGGCCAGCAACCTTATATTGTGGGGGGAAAGCCACAGAAACTGCAAATACTCCAACCCTGCGTCACTATGAAATCATGGAGAAGAACGTTAGAAGAAGAGACAATGTCGCTTGTCTAACTTGAGCTCCGATAAGGAGAGCAGCCCGAATTCGAGTCCGGTGGAGAGGTATGGCTGCAGACCTTTGCTCTCCAGGGGCCACAAAAGAATAAGTAAAGGCATTGTATTTCTCAGCTCGTGTTTACAAAAGGGTCTTGATAAAAATGGCCTTTGACATTGCCACTCTGTCAATTACCCATTACTGTGTTTGTGCGTTTGTGTTGTTTTGCTTTCTTGTCTAAGTTATGTAATTTTGTAAATCAGACATACCAATATGTAGACAGAATATACAGCCTCACTAGAAAACAAATAGTTGTTTCCAAATTGTCTCTAACTCTCACATAATATTGATTGTACTGTATGCTTTAGCCCCTTCTAAGATGACGAGGTGAGATAATCATCAAAGAACAAAATCAAATTGTCTCAAAATAACGCTCAAAAAACAATCTAGTATTGGATGCTACCCTTGTGGGGTCCTAATGACGGGATATGACTTGGCCTTCTGAAACCATATTTCATCAACAAACAAGGAAAATACCAAATGTAGTAGATCAAGAGTTCCGCAGCTCATGCTAATTTGCTAAATTAAGGTGCTAGGATACTATAATATTCAATGCAAAATTTAAACCAGCGGGAGTTGGAGATATTGTAAGCTTCTGTGTGAATAAAGCTAGATTGTTGTCTAGGTACATCTGACAAATCATTAAAAAATGTAACTAAAGTAATGTTTTTTAAATTGAGATCTATCATCGTTTACGCTGATAAATCACTAATGCGCTTCCATTCATTCTATTCTTTAATAGAAATCATTCCCTGAAATATTTTGAAATACAAGGAATCAATATAGCCCAGAATTCGATTCTAATCTAACTTCCTGAAGAATGAATCCCTTTGCCTTGGCAAATGACCGATAAAAATATTCATGACCCTTGATCCATCGGTAGTTTGGGGGGTCTGGAAGATCAAGTTGATTAAATAAAAAGCTTAAAAAGGGAGTGAACATACGTGAGATAAAACAGAGAAGTAACTGATGAATTCCACACTGTATTCCCGTCTTATTTGCGTTGATCAAGATTTAAAAAATAAATCTTTATCGTTGATTGATGTCTTGTTCATCTCCGTGTCTGGGAAACGTTATGTATTACTTCGCCATGACAGAGGTTTGTGTAGTATTACGACATATCATCTGAGTTTACGTATGTTACGTGCATCCTTACTAGCCCCAATGATTGAAGACATTCAATCTGAGTTTATTTTAGCCTAGACATGCTAGCCCCAATAATTGAAGACATTCAATCTGAGTTTATTTTAGCCTAGACATGCTAGCACCAATGGTCATCTAATCCAAGAATTTTTCTCGAAACACACCTAAAACAAAAAAGCAGGACTTTCGACTGAGGCGAGCGTCATGTCACATTCTGTTAGTGCCAGTAACGACCGAGTGAACAAGCCTAGAGCGTCATGTCACATTCTGTTAGTGCCAGTAACGACTGAGTGAACAAGTCTAGAGCGTCATGTCACATTCTGTTAGTGCCAGTAACGACCGAGTGAACAAGCCTAGAGCGTTAAGTCACATTCTGTTAGTGCCAGTAACGACCGAGTGAACAAGCCTAACAGGCTCATTAGTTTTTGGCTTCCCCTGGGAGCCTAGTAACTGGCATTGATTTTCTTGGAGTTTTATTTTTACAGAATTTTTATTTTATTTTCCAAAATTATTTGAAAACAAAGTTTAAAATTTACTTTTAAGATGTTTTTTTTTTTGTTGTTAAAAAGATAACAATCTTTAAGAGAATGTATGCTTAAAACCAACGTTCAGAGATCAAAAGCCATTTTAAAAAACTTTTCTCAAGAAATGTAAATTCCCAATCATCAGGCAAATGATCAGTAGGATCCCAACCTATCTGAGATTGTATATCTATATAATAATGTGTCTATAGGTCTACATAACTAGGCCGAAGGCCGTAAAATCTGTTTCTGTAAGAACTAAGACGGTTAACACTAGTCTCCAAATGAAGCCAGCATGATTTGTGTCTCTTCTGGGTTTTGGAAACATATATGTACCTATTTTCTCCACCAAACAATTTTTGTTTGAATTTCATTGACTTTGTTTCATATTACTAAGGTCTATATATATATATATATATATATATATATATATATATATATATATATATATATATATATATATATATATATATATGTTACGGTCAAAGCCCGAAGTGCGGCCAATGCTAGGATTGGCCGGCCAATCCGCGCATTGGCCGGCTCTCTTGGCCAAAGCCCGAAGAACTTAGCACTAAGATCGTATTTCGTACATTGGCCGGCCAATGCGCGCACTGGCCGGGACGTACTGGCCAAAGTCCGAAGCGCTTAAACTTGACAGCGTATTTTGTATATTGGCCGGCCAATGCGCGCACTGGCCGGGATGTCCTGGCCAATGTTCTATCTAGACTAAGTTGTGATCGCATTTTTATTATTCTGGTTGCGGTTTCATTGAGAGTAACGTATTGTTCAGCTCTTGTTTGTATAGCATTCTATACGCAATTCGACATGGATCAATGGGCCGTCAGACCATGAGACAGACACAGTGTTTCTTCCAGACTTTTTTCTTCGGGGGGGGGGGGGGGCACTTGAAATTTTCGGGGGGGGGGGGGGGGCGGTAGACTTTCTTCGGGGGGGGGGGGGGCGGAACACTGTTAAAAGTATATATTTTCTATATAAATTATATAAATTTAATTTCGTTCGGGGGGGGGGGGGGGCGGTAAAAAAATTTCGGGGGGGGGGGGGGGCTTCGCCCTCCCCGAAGAGATGCCTGGTAGAAACTCTGGACAGACATAGCAGATGGCTGTCAAAAGAAAAAAATGTAAATCCATGTTAGTTTCCATATATGGGCTCTCGATAAAATTATTACTGAGCAAGATCTTGAGAACATTGAACAAGAAATGGAGGTTGCCATAAATGCAACGACATGCTCAGCTAACACATCTACTGCCGTGGCGGAACGCCCAGACCAGATGTGTGACAATAATGTGGCCAACAGATTCTGTATAGTTTGTGCAGCTCATTCTTTTGGATCCTGTGGCAACGATGTCCATGCTATTTGTGGAATACCCAATGAAGCAGACGAAGGGTACGGAGGGAACATTACCTGCAGATTGTGTCACAACAAACAAGACATCATGGAACACAGATCAGCAGCTCATACTGGCTTGCAAATTCAAGGTACTAAGATGCTTAAAACATCAAATACAAAATTTAAAGATGGTGAAGTGGGTGACAATGTACTCATCCGTATACCAGATGTTGACAGAGGTCGCGGTGATCCCCGAAGCGTGATTGCAGTTGTCATGAGCGTCGAGGGCGGTTCCTACAAATTAGGAACGGAACATGGTGTTCTAAAACAACTGTATGCTAGAAGTGAGTTTTCAATTCTTCACGAAAAACTGCTCTTATTGTCGTCAGTTGGCACTGAGGAAAAATCACTACGAACCATCGCATCTTCACAATCATTTACTGGGGGCCAAGGCTACACTCGCTGCAAGTGCACAACTAAGTGCACAACAAATAGCTGCAAGTGTAAAAATAACAAGCTGCTATGTAATTCTAAATGCCGTAAAAGTTCAACTTGTTGTAACAAATTATGATATTGATATATTGAGACTATAGTACAATAAAAAATTTGAATGTTTCTGTCATTTACTTTAATTAATAATCAATAAAGACTTAATTGCATGATCCTTATGGCATAAAAAAAAAAAAACCAAAATCTGCTCATGATCTTCTAATTCGGACTTTGGCCGGTCATCCCTAGCCAGATGATCTTCTAATTAAGACTTTGGCCGGTCAACCATGGCCAGTCCGCGGACTGGCCAGCCAAAGGCCGAAATCAAGACCTATTTCAGACTTTGGCCGGTCCACCGTGGCCAGTCTGCGGATTGGCCGGCCAAAGGCCGAAATCAAGCAAAGTTTCGGACTTTGACCGACCTATGGGAGGCGATATTGGCCAATGCGCGGATTGGCCGGCCAATCCTAGCATTGGCCGACTTCGGGCTTTGACCGTAACATATATATATAGTCTGAAATAGCTCTTGATTTCGGCCTTTGGCCGGCCAAAGTCTGAATTAGAAGATCATGAAC